ACCAATAATGAATGACATAATTGTTAAGATTAATGTTTTTTATAACCTTATAAAGAACATGTTGATTCTAACAATAAATATGTACATGTTGATAGGATAATTAAAAGTAATTGGGGATTGATTGATTAGAAATGTAATGATTGTACATATATATGAGTCTAGGTCGTACACATCACCAAACATTAGTGTAAAAAATTGTAAATTTTGATTTTTTTTATTTTTTTTTTCATTAATCTTGATTTCATTGATCAGGTTTAAGCTCGAAATAATCCAATTTATAAATTCTTTATATGAAATACTCGAATGCTCAACTTTAAGGTTGGCTCGACTATGACCCAATTTCAACTTATTGCATTGAAACAAAATTATGTGATCACTAAGCTATAAGAGATTTAACCTGTCTCAAAATGACTAGATCCGAACTTGAGTGAAATTGCGGCCCTTCAAATTTAGGTTGGGAAGGGTCAACATCGTCATTAACATCATTGTTATTAACTTTGCAACATCAATAACAAAGAAAACAAGCTCAAAATTCAGACCAATTACGTCATTATCGAGCTCCACTCAACGACAATTATGGTCACACGTTCCGGTGAAATTGAAAGATTAATTCGGCAATCGAAAATGAGTTTGTATTATGTGAAGATAGTATGGAGCAATTTTCTGAGATTCTAATATAAGTTTGTTCATTTTCTCTTATGCATTTTTATTGTATGTGTTTTTGCTCATTTTAATTTGGTTTGCTCATTTTAATTTCAGTTTGTTCATTCGTGAAGGATATGAGCAGAACAACATGTATTAGATTAACCTTGTGAACTATCTATTTCAAAAATAGGCAGAAAATGAAGTGCATAATATAAACTAGTATACGGTTGGTCTTTTATGGTCCAACAATTGTTTACATTTTCAAATATTGTAAGTAAGTTCAAGGTTTCATATTAGTTTGAATGTTTTAGAATTGTTGCTCATTTGATAAATGAATAAAGAATATTTACTCATTTGATAAATGAGCAAACAGAAAAAAGAAATATTGTTTTCTCATTTAATAAATGAACAAAGAACTATTGCTCAATTATCAAATGAGCAAATATTATTTGCTCATTTATCAAATATTTCTCTCCTCTTCAGATTTTCTGTCTCTTCCTCTAGGTTCTCTGATTTTCTACGCTCTTCCATTTCTTCGCTCTTCAATTTCTTTGCTTTTGCTCATCAATTTCTCACGATAATCTGTTAAGGTATGTAAATTTCAGTTTAATTTTGAATTTGATCGATTTTGAAACATGTTTTTGCAATTTTGATTTCAAAAATTAGGTTTTTTGCCAAAAGAGGACAACATTATGCATTGCTGGTTGATGGTTTGAGGGAGATCACTTGATGCGATTGTGTAGTTTGATCGAAGGAACCACTCGTGGGTTGTTGTGGGTGTTCTGGCAGATCCCTTGCTTGAAGGCGTTTGTGTCCATCTTTTCAAGAAGTCTGGTTGAGCTAGTGTGACTATTTCGTTCGTCAGATTAGTAGGTTGTTGGTGGATTCATCCTTTTTCTGTAAGTAAAGTAGCTTTGATTTTGCGTTGTTAATATAAATCAGAACCTGAATTTTGCTGTAAACAATTGATAATCCTAGTCTGTAGTTGTTGTAATTTTGGATTGTTGTGTTGTATGGATTACGCTAAATTAATGAATTATTAATGTAATTAAACGTAATTGAACCCTATGTAATTGGATAAGTAATGCATGTTTTGGTATGTTGAGTTGTTTATTGGTAGAAGCAGCATGATGTGGCCTTGGGCGTTGTGTGAATGGTGTGGGCTATCTGTGGCCAGGGAGGATGGGTGTAATGCTATGTCACTTTGTTGAGTGCGTTAGGCCGTTGGGCATGTGGTGTATTGCAGGGTAGCTGAGGATAGCATCAAGTGGGTGGTAAAATGAGCAACCATTAGTTTGCTCATTTGTCAAATAAGCAAATAATTAATTACTCATTTGTAAAATAAGCAAACATTTCTTTGATCATTTGGAAAATGAGCAATCGATTTTTTGCTCATTTAGCAAATAGTTAGTTGCAAATTTAACAAATGAGCAAAAACTTAGTTGCTCATTTATCAAATGAGCAAATGATTAGTTGCTCAATTTGTCAAATGAGCAAACATTTCTTTAATCATTCATTAAATCAACAAGCATTTCTTTGCTCATTTGTGAAATGAGCAACCATTAGTTTGCTCATTTGTCAAATAAACAAATAATTAGTTATTCATTTGTAAAATAAGCAAACATTTCTTTGATCATTTGGGAAATGAGCAATCAATTTTTTGATCATTTGGGAAATGAGCAATCAATTTTTTGATCATTTGGGCAAATAGTTAGTTGCTCATTTGTCAAATGAGCAAGCATTTCTTTAATCATTCATTAAATCAACAAGTATTTTTTTGCTTATTTGTGAAATGAGCAATCAATTATTTGCTCACTTGGATGAGCAAATATTTCCTTACTCATTAAATTAGAATGACAATCGAAGTATTGTGTCTTTTGTTGGTTGGCTGTAAAGGAAAGGTGATATCAGAGACGCCATAACAGATGAAGCTAGATAGGCACTAAATCTGAACCATGTCAATATATTTTTGCTTATGTAATTTACTTTTGAGTTTTTGTCATTTACTTCTGAGTAGATAGAAGTGGTTGAGTATTATTTGGTTGTGTGGTTTTGATTTTAATGGCTGCGTGAAGAGTTTCTGTATGGGGGGTTATGTTTGGTAGAAGCAGCAAGACTTATTTGTTGTGGCCTTTAGCGTTGTGTGAATGGTGTTAAGCAAATATAGTTACTCATTCGTGCAAATGGTTCGGGTTATAACGGGATGAAATTATTAACGGGTCGGTTTTGAAAATTATCTGGTCAGTTCGGTTTGGTTTTTTTATTGCGATTTCTATTTGGGTCGGGTCCTAATTGGGTCAGGTTGTAATCGGTTCATGTCATAATTAGTTTGGGTTGAATCGGATCGATTTGAAAACGGGTTTAGTCAATTAAAAAACGGGTTTTGGTTAAAAACATTTCAGGTTCTAAACAGGTCGGGTTGTAATCAATTCGGGTCATAATCAGTTTGGGTTAAACTAGGTCGGTTTGAAAACGGGTTTCGGTTCAAAACAGATCGCGTGAAATCGGGTCGGTTCATTAGTGGTTCGGGTCATAATCGGTTTGAATTAAACGGGGTCGGTTTGAAAACAAATTACCCAATTTGAAGCGGGTTTCAATTGAAATAATATCGGGTTAAAATCGATTCGGATCATTGTCGAATCAGATTAATCAAATAATGGGTAGAAATGGGTTAGGTTATAATCGAGTTAAACCTTAATATGTTGGGTTTATCAAGTAGTGGGTTGAAATAGATCAGATCATAAACATATTGGGTTACGAGTTGTAAACGGTAATGGATTACGGGTTGTAAACGGTTCGATCTCAATAGGTTACGGGTTGTAAACGGTTCGGTCTCAACGGGTTACGGGTTGAAAACGGTTCGATCATAACGGATTACGCGTTATAAACGATTCGATCACAACGGCTTACGGGTTGGAACGGTTCAGGTTTATCAGATTTGTACCGGGTTTAAACAGTTATCGGTTTAAAATGGGTCGGGTTACTATCGGGTTCTGATGTAATCGGTTCGGGTTGCTTTCAGTTTCCGGTTGTAATGGTTTGCTTTGATAACGGGTACTCGGCTCATTAACGGTTTGCTCAAATTCGGTTCAGTTCAGTTTCGGGTTGGAAAAAATTGGGTCGGGTCGGTTTTCGGTTTTCAAAAATGGGTTTTTAACGGTTCAGTTCCTTTTCGGATTGGTTCGAAACAGTCGGGTTTAACAGTTTGGGTTAGAAACTGACAGCTCTAATTACAGGGTAATTTTTGATCATTTTAAGTTAACTTTATAGTAGATGTACAATATTTATTGTTTTGTTGTACATCTAATTTTTTTATTTATTTGTCTATAAAAATTTATTGTTTTTTTTTTTTTAATTTTTATTTATTTTTTTTATGATGAACTTCGTTTTTAATTAATATTTTTTGGATCTAAAATGTCTTCGCATGAAATTTTCTCATGATTTCTATTTAAAAAAGATGATAAGTTGAATGTTGCAACTCATTGTTTTTACAATACGACGTTCTCTGAGTCATCAACGTATAAACTCAAGGAAGTTTCATTTCGCAGTTTTATTTTATTGGTATGCCATCCTCTTTGTTGATGCATGATATATTAAGCTAAAGCCACGTAACTTTTTCTTTTTTCCTTTTTCTTTTTTCCTTTTTTTTTTTTTTTTTTTTTATGTTTATTGCTTTTAATTTAATTAATATTATTATTGGGTTTATACTGTGAGGTTACTCGTATTATGCAATCTATGTGGTTATTTTTGGTTCAAAATCTTTATCACACTCCTGTTTTTTATTTTTTAAATAATTGCTATTTTTACCCGTAATAAATACTTTGTTATAAGGATGCTAATTTATCATTATGTCTATCTATTTTATAATATTTCCATTAAAGCAATTTTCGAGATTCATTATTGTGTGTCTATGGGAAAATTGCGTAATCATACACACTATAAGATCATGGCCTTGAAGGGCTTAAGCTATAGCATGCATATACGTATAGAGTAACATTAAATTTAAATTTTGAATTACCTTTATACAAGTATAATTAATTATATGGAGTATTAAGGAACATTCTCGTTGGTGCCCTTATATATTTTGATTATCAAATTACCATCACAGCAGAAAAATTGTTCCCAATAATTCTACGAAGCTTTTCTTAAGTTACTAATGATGAGAGTGAGGGATAGTTCAGTCGGTGTTAGAGCTTTCCCTCTTGATTTCGGGGATTCCTGGGATCGTTTTTCAGATCATCTCTCGTTCTTATTGTTGTCTAAATAAAAAAAATGTTACTAATGATTCAAGAATTAACACCCCCTTTTTTTATTTTTTGGCCTAAACTACCTTTTAACAGGTAATCAAAATGAAATGAATACAAACAATAATGAGGGCTTTTGTTGTGGTAGCCATATCAATATGGTTGATCGTCCTTGAACCAACATTTGCAGCATCAGATCTAAGTTTCGATGCAACAAGTCCTACAACGAATACCTACTCGAAGCTATTAAGCGACTTGCGTGAATGGTTGGCAGATCCAACACTCCGTTACGGCAACACCAATGTACCAGTAATGGCAGCAACTTTCAAAAAAAGAAAGTACCTTAAGGGATCAGAGGGAGGAACGATCACAATTGGAAAGTGTCTAAAGTCGAAGACATAGTTAATCACATGGCACTCCTAATTTTTTTTGGAGAAAGCCAAGTATCTATATTTAATAAGCTGAAGTTGTTCATGAACACTTTTTTTTATAACCAAGACTGGTGACGGTGAGGCTGAATTGTGAAGTTCTATTTAATCCAAGTACAAGTTATGTAATACAAGTAATAATGTTAAGTAATGACACGTTTGGTTTGGTAAGTGGTCATAATATATGCATTGTATGAAACATGTTTATGTATAATAGAAGTTGTGTGGTGATAATTCAGCCTAATAAGCAACAAAATGTTGTTGTTGTTGATGATGATGTTGTGGATGTATTGTGGTGATGGTACTAATTATTTGTCAAAGGTGTGATTTATGTATTCTTGCAGGGCCATCGATCTCAAACAATTTATGTATTCTTGCATAGCGGGCCGGGCCATCGATCTCAAACAATTTATGTATTCACATTTCACCACAATGTCATCGATCTATACTTAGACATTTTAATTTATACTCTGCATAGGATAGATAATTCTTGTTCAATAACTTTTTCTACCGTGTTTGTAGAGTTGATCTCATAACTTTTTATATACACTTGGATGCACAGTGCAATCAAGATTGGTTTTTTGCTCATTTAATATTTTTTTTCTCATTTTAATATTCTTAAGTAAGCAATAAACATTAAATGAGCATAATATACTTTTGTAATACAATGTATCTGGGTGTATATAAAATGAAAAATGGAATTTTTCAAGTTAAACTTGATTGGTAATAGAGTATAAAATATCTTTCTAAGTCTTAACCATTAGTTTAAGACAATTGGTTATATAAATATACAAAAAATAAATAAAAAATAGTAATAAAAAAAATAATTAAATAAATAAATTATATTCATAGATCTTATATTATGGGTAGAGCTCATGGATCAAAGCGTGAAGTACCGACGTCCATTTAGCAAACGTGTTACTGGTTTTAAACCATGTTAGTTGTTGTGTTCATAAATGCCAAGTTAATTACCATTATTACTTACTTGGTACAAATCTATTTAGGGTTTTTTTTTTTTTCAATTATTTATTTATTTTGTTATTTCTTTATTGCCCAATCTGACTATCTCTATAAAAATGTTGTCCTTGATTAAAAAGACACGTATGAATGACATTTATTTCAAGTCGAATTTTTCCATTCAATTATTGTCCTTTCATTTGTTTAGTTGAGTATCAATTGTTAATCCACGTTTTTCTTCTAGTAATAAGTTTTTTTTTTTTTTTTTTTATTTTTTTTTTTTTTATAGCTAATTCAATATAATGTTTATCCTTACTATGAGATAAGTTTGTGGACTAGATTCATTAATGAGGACATTAAAATAAAAATAAAGTCATCAACAACTAAATATTGGACAGGCTATAAAATGAGGTCTTTCAATATCAATACCATCAACACATCAAACACAGCTTCACACAAGAAAATAATTTGTACGTGTACCTATAATTTAGAATCAAATTTCGTCTACATAAAAAAAAAAAAAAAAATACAACTCGTCATAGTAAAAAGTCCGAGATGACCAAAAACATGAAAGTTGGTCATGTGCTATTATTCATGGTTGCCATTGTTGTGGTAGGCACCGTGACACAGCCAACTTTGGCAGTGCGTCGAACTCCGCTCACCGCAAACACCATACAACAGAATCCCCTCTCAAACATCATGCTCGAAACGGTCAACAATGGAGCTGCTGGTTGGTGCCAGCAAAGGAACGAAATCTGCAATGCTTACTTTAAGTGTTGTCCAGACCTTGTATGCTACACTCGTGGAACTTGTGGAGATCTGGTCTAACAACTTTGCACTGCGGTCGGCATCGAGATACTTAAGTAATTATAGAATGTATGCTGTTTAAGAATAATATACGATGTATAAGTTAATATGAAGCTTTGGGTATACCATGCTTGTCAAGTTGTCAATAACGCATGTAACGAAACGAATAAGGCCAGGCCATAATAATACGTTATTATTGTCTTGTGTTTTGGTATTATTTGTGTTGCAATATCACTCAAGCGCAAAGTTGTGCCCGGCCTAGCTCCTAGATCTTCACGGCACCTCCTCCATCATAGTGTACTGTGAGCTGGGAGCAGCTCCGCAGCTGAAGACGAGCTCGTCTTCGGCACGGGCAAGGTCCCCCCCAGGGGGCTAGGGGGGTAACGGAGATTGAGTGGATGGAAAATCAAACAGCTTTCCTTGGCGGGCCGAAATGACCGACAGACAGAGCATAGTTAGGCCTGTACAAAACTATCCGATAATCCGAAAATTCGATCGATTAACTATCTGAGACTCTGAAAATTCGATCTGCAATCGATCCGAGTTTTCATTTCGCATCGGATATCCGATCCGAAAAAGTGGATTTCGAATGCGGATTTGGATATTGATTTTCAAAATTTTGGATATCCGATATCCGAAATATAAAGGCTGAAATAATGAAATATATATAAAAATTTTTAAATTGTTCATATGAAAAACAACCTTGTATTATTAACTTATTATAATATTCTTAATATATTTGATGATAATTTTTATTGCAAAAAGACTACCATTTTGTTAAAATATATTGTACAACTTCACGACAAAAAAGTGGTAAAATTAGTGAGGTTTAGAAAGTAATCATAATCAATTTTACTTAATATTAGATATTGGATATCAGTTTCTGATATCCGAGTATTAGGATATCCGATCCGTGAACAGGCCTAGACATAGCCACACTTATTTATTGCTTAGACTTTTTTTTCAAATACATACACCTCTTTGACCATTAGTTTATGTATTAATAATTAATAATAAAAAAAAGGCAAAAGCTAACGAACACTCACGGGACGTTGGATAAGCTAACTAAATATAGAAATACGGAGTATTAAATTAAAATAAACCTTAATTACACCAATCAAATTGTGATTTTGGCATACATTCCTAAATTAATACTACATAAGAAAATATTTTAAATGTTTATCTAATGACTTGAGGCGTTCGTTTGCAATATCTTAAAAAAAATTATAAATCTATAATTTGAAAGTATGCAGTAGAACCAATCCAACAATAATATTTAACAGTACATGTAAATATATACATTTAAATTTTACAGTGTCAATCTTTTACAGTAGATTTTAATTAAAGACTAATCATCTTAAATGCGAACAAGTCTACACGTTAAACAAAGAAGGATATTCCATGAAATTCAGAGCATCAAAGACGGCTTGGGTTTATTTATTTATTTCTCACTTCCTAAGGAATAATGGGTACGTATGGGCTAGTCTTACATTTTAGGTGGAAAATGACGAATAATAATAATAATAATAATAATACTTGTAGAAGCTAATATATTATCTAGTTGCAATTTTCAATTTGATACGTGTGAGACTTTCTTAACTTTTATAAATATTCAAAGCTATGGTTGAAAATTGGCACATATATGATGACTAGGTTAAGAATTTCAGGTACTGAATTCTAAGTCGTTTGGATGATCGACCTACCTTTTAATGTATGGCCTAGTTATACTTAAGTTAGATGTGTCAAAACTGACCAATTCAATTCAATCTGAAATCGATTTGAACAAAACTCACTTTAGATTTCAACTTGTATTGAATTTATAATTTAACATGACTCGAATTTAAGAAAGATTTATGTAACCCAACCTTATCGAACCCGACCCATATATTTGGATTAACACCTCTAGCTAATACACCTCAATTTCCAAATAGGCTTATACTAGTAAAGTGAACTAGACCGAAGGAAAACAGGGTTCATTGTTTTCGCCTTAATTAGTTAGTTAATTTGTAGATCGTTGAATTACGCAAACCTTCCTTGAATAAATTAAGTTGCCCCCTTCATTGGATCCCCCTTGCCAACTCCTCAAATAATGTTGTATGAGTATGTAATTTTTTTTTATTGTAGTTATCAATATATCAACGTAATAATATGTAATATAAACTTAATAATGTACCGAATAAGGTTGATTGGTTTAATTATTACAATTAAGTTGTCTATCAATTAGATCTACAAATTGAATAGTAGACTTTTATTTTTTAATACTGATAGGGACGAATATAAGTATAATTTTTAAACATAATCCACATGTTAATGTTTGGAAAAAAATATTATTAACTCTGGTCCAAAGTCTATTTAATTATATACTTCGTACTTGTAAACAAAAAATAAAAAAAATAAAATAAAAATTATATACTTTGTATATGTGTACTATATTAATTAAAATAATTGATCAAAATAACACGGAGTAATAATTGAACCAAACATATCGAAAAGGCCCTACTTAATATATTTTATTACACAACCAAGTAAACCTGGGCACGGGTCGGGTTGGCCCGCATGCCGCCCGGCACGGCCCGCCGTTCGGCGCAGCCCGGCACGACCCGAATTCAAGCACGGCACGGCACGAAGTTCAACTCCCGTGCCACGGGCCGTGCCACGGACAGGGTTGAGAATTCCCAGGCACGGCCCGGCACGAGCACGGCCAGAGCCCGCCGTGCTGGCCCGTCGTGCCGGCCTTCAGGCACGGCCCGGAACGGCCCGCGGGCCAACGGTAATGTTACCGTTTAAATGCAACGGCTATCTCCTTAATAAGCCAAAAAAACGGCTAAAAAACGGCTAGTTTTTTGCCAATTTGCTCCCCAAAAATTCTATAAATACTCACCTCCATTTCATTCCCAAATCACAAAATCACAATCTCTTCTTCTTATCTCTTATATTCTCTAAATATCTAATAATCCTTATTTTCTTAAATTCTCTAATTATTCTCTTAAATTCTCTAATTATTTTCCTAATATCGGAAAAAATTTAAAAGTTCATAATCGTAATTAGTGGAGCGTTGAAGCACGGTTGTAAGATCTAAACTAATCTTAAATTTATTATTGTTTTATTGTTATTATTAGAATAATCTTGTTTAATTATTATTGTTGTTAATTGTTATTGTTGTTGTTATAATTGTTGTTATTAATAGCTCTAACATGAGATACCAAGAATGGAAGAGTTTTCTAAAACAACAAAAGATAAGGGTAATAAAAATTAGAATCGATTGCCCAACTAGGTGGAATTCCACCTATGACATGTTAACAAAGGCAATTGAGTACAAGGGCCCGTTAACATTATTTTACAACCAAAAATTTCCACAAAATGCATGGACGACGATGAGATAAACAGCCTCGACCTCCTTGCATGGTGGAAACAACAAAGCTCGAAGCATCCAACTTTGGCGGCAATGGCACGAGACATTCTTGCTATCCAAGTTTCCTCCGTCGCCTCCGAACGAGCTTTCAGCGCATCCGGAAGGGTTTTAGACGATAGAAGAACAAGTCTAAAACCCGAAACACTAGAAATGTGCGTGTGTTTCAAAGATTGGTTGGATGCGGAAAATCGCTCACAAGACCGTTCTTACGACCACAACGACAACGAAGAAGGAACCTCCGCTTCCGGTTCGGGTTCGGCTAGTTCCCAATCTATGCAACTAGCCGATGACCTTGAAGGCGAAGGCGAAGGCGAAGACGAAGACGAAGACGAAGACGAGCAAGAAGAAGGAGAAGAAGAATAGACAATTCTTGTATATTGTACGATTTTAATCATTATCAAATATCAATTTTATCATTTTCCAATTTTTGTTTAATACCATCATTGTATGATTTTTATCATTGTTATCATTGTACAATTTTCTCAACTCAAGTAATAATAATATAAAGTACGCATTATTCACATCCAAAGTCCAATTTGCCTTTTTTCCCCGTTTTGTTACAATTTGTAAATTCATATTAAAAAAAATAAAATTATACCAATTACTAATACAAAATTATATTTAATAAATCATAAACATTAAATTTTAAAGTAATAGTATAAAGTAAATATATAAATATAAATATTGAATATACAAATTATAAAACATAAATATTCAACTTATAATTATAAAATTCATAACTTAATAACTTATAACTTATAAGTTATAAACTTATAAGTTATAACCTTATAAAACTTATAATTATAATTTTATAACTTATATACATTATAAACTTATTAATTTATAATGTTGTCACTTAAAAAAAAAAAAAAAAAAAAAAAAAAAAAATCGAAAACTGCACCAGCCCGCAGGCCGACACGTGGCCAGCACGGCACGAGGGTCGTGCCGTGCCGTGGGCTGGCCTGTGAAAATGGTCGGCACGGCACGACACGAAATCCTGGGCCCGCCGGCACGACCAGCACGGCACGAACCAGCCCGTGGCCCGCCAGGCACGGCCCGCGGCGGCACGGCCCGGCACGGTGCCCAAGTTTACAACCAAGTAGAGTTTTGGATATAACAATAGTAAGAAAATCAACACTTGAATCTACCGTTCACATGCATATACATTGATAAGGTTCGTAACAAATATTCTTGTAGTTATCTACAAGCTAAGAGTGTAGTAGACCATATATATATATATATATATATATATATATATATATATATATATATATATATATATATATATATATATATATATATATATATATATAAATTTACATATATATAAAAAAGGAAATACATATATTTATTTGAAAGCGCGTTTTAAATACTGTAAAAAGCTCAAATGAGGCAAAAAGATAGGATGAAGTATTTCTCATCAATAATGAGTGACATAATTGTTAAGATTAATGTTTTTTTATAACCTTATAAAGAACATGTTGATTCTAACAATAAATTATGTACATGTTGATAAGATAATTAAAAGTAATTGGGGATTGATTGATTAGAAATGTAATGATTGTACATATGAGTCTAGGTCATACACATCACCAAACAATAGTGTAAAAATTGTAAATTTTTGTTTTTTTTTTTCATTAATCTTGATTTCATTGATCAGGTTCAAACTCGAAATAACCCAATTTATAAATTCTTTATGTGAAATACTCGAATGCTCAAATTAAAGGTTGACTCGACTATGACCAATTTGAACTTATTGTATTGGAACAAAACTATGTGATCACTAAGCTATAAGAAATTTAACCTGTCTCGAATTGACTAGATCCTAACTTGACTTAAATTGCGGCCCTCCAAATTTAGGTTGGGAAGGGTCAATTGCAATTTAGCCTAAAGTCCGACTCAACCCAAACTTGATTTGAAGTTTCAACATGAAACCTAATTACCTGGCCCATTATCTAGTGACCTAATTAAGCATGCATGCACACCTAGCTAAACTTAAATTGGTCAGATAAATCCCATTTGTACCGACCCGAAGTCATAGTTGACCCAAAATAATAACCCGATCCAAACCCGATATCCAGGTCTATGCATGTTTGACTATATAATAGGACATTTTATTTTTTTATTACGTACCACAATAATACATATATATACTCGTAACCAAGGTGTCCATGGCAAGAACCCTGGTATGACTCTGATCCATCTAATTTATGTAGGATCCTAGGCACGATAGCTATTTATTTGATGTATGTGTGTTTTCTCATATTAGACGAGCATATGCTTGTGCTACCTTTAAATCAAAAAATAATAATAAATACTTATATCAAATACGTAATATTAAAATTATTTTAGCATCCTGTTTCATCACATGCAATGAACTAATCGCCGGACGCCGGACCCTTAAATAAAATGAACATTATCCTTACATTATTTTTATGCAACGTTGTTAACACTTCCTTGTACACGTGATCCTCGTGTTAACACTTCCTTGTCCACCTGATCCTCGCGTTTAATCATTAACTTTGATAATTAAGCTCCTTACCATTCAAGTTGTCGATCTGTTTGCCTATTTAAGAAGATTAAGCTACACATTAAACCTTGCCTTTCACTAAATTATCACACACATTAGTTATCAATCATTTTCTACATTATCAACGCCTCAACATTTACGTAAGTTTCTCCATCCCAAATTCCCAATTATATGTGTTCGTTATTTTGTGTAGTACGTTCAATTCAGAGCTAACTTTAATCATTAATTAATAATATAATAATGTGTTGTTGTATCAGTGTATATATAGTTTTAACTATACCTTATGCAATAATCTCTTTGCTTGATCTGATAAATGATGGTGAAATCATTTTAATGACCATCTACTCATTAAAAAAAACAAATAATGTACTCCTACTTGTATTTCATATTGAAGGTTATTAATTTTTTTTGAACGGGGAATCAAAAGTGGCCTGAGTAGGCAATTTTAACTAAAAAATTATTACAGCCTTTAAAATTTAACATAAATTTTAAAGGTTAAAATAAATTTTATCTGATCTATTAGATGTTACTCGTATTTAAATTTTATGGTTTAAAAATAATTTTCATTGATTACAATTAAAATTTGTCACAATTCTCATCACTTATGTCAATATATTATAGCTGATTTATTTACGTACACAGCTTATACATAAATTTTAGTAATCTAAATCGATTTAAAGATAAAGACCTAATTCATTATAGTGCAACTTTTTACTAATTGATTGGATTAATTTTTAAAGCTGAGAAGAAAGGATTTGTATTTGAAACTCTTACAAAAAAATACAACATTAAACCCTTAATTATCGTGAACTAAAAACAAAACACACACAACAACAACAAAAAAAAAGTAAATAAATAAATTTGAAAATCCCTACATGCAGACAAAGTTTTTGGCTGATTAGAACTGATTTATGAGAATTAAATTTAAGTTTGGCTAACAAATGTTTTTTATATTCATAAAAACATAGTATTGGATATTAGAATTGACTTTAACCAAATAACCAAAAAATTTTAAGTATTACTTCGTATTATTTATTTTTTTTGAGTTGAAAACAAGTTATAAAGCTTTAGTGAAAACTTTTAATACCTTTTCTAAGATGACCCGATCTTTTTCGTTTAAAACTCAATATGAATCATCATGTTTTTATTTTTCAATTATATATTATCGTCACAAATTATTAGTATACTAAATACATGTTATTATAAAATTCTATTTTTCGTAAGTTATAATACAATCAAAGTAACATGATAGCTAGAATTGAATACGGTATATTATTACATAGTACTTAATTTAATTAATTAAGTGTACATACGTATAATATAGTCCATAATTATTATAGGTATACAGGTAATCTAAGTCAACAAGGGAAGTATGAAATTGTTGGCAGCACCAATTTCGGTTATATGGTGGTGCATGATGATGATGGCTGTTGTTCCACCATTAGCAACAGCACAAGACGGAGAAACCCTAGCCTACAGCACGGTAACATTTGAGCTAACAAATGGTGTTACGGGCTACCAAAGTTTTCTAACAAGATTGCGCAATCAAGTAGAATCCCCAACTAGGGCTTGCACCTTACAATCAACTCGAAACCCCCCTTTAACAGGAGCCGAATATGTTTTAGTAGACCTCAAAATTAGTAACACGCAATGGGTGACCTTAGGAATAGATGCCAAAGACTTATATGTATGGGCTTATCAAGACAACGTAAAATACAATGGAAAATACCGAGCCACTTTCCTGAATGACGCTCCTCAGGCTGCTAAGGACCGCCTTTTCCCAGGATCAACGCAAAGAACCACTAGATTCGGAGGTAACTATAACAGCCTAGAGCCGGCTGCAGGTACAACTCGAAAGAACCTTGTACTAGGAATACAGAACCTAGACGGAGCCATTAGAAAAGTGTACAATAAACAAGAGAGTGAACTAAACAAGGGCACGGATGAGGCTCGGTTTTTTCTTATCGCAATTCAAATGGTTCCAGAGGCAGCACGATTCAGATTTATGGAGCAAGCCATAGTTAGGGGGGATAATTCCGATTCCTTCAAAAAGAAAATGGTAGCTTTTCAGAACGATTGGGATCCGATTTCTCAAGCTATTCACAAAGCAGAAGCAGCAACACCTAAATGTGTTACTATTACACCAACTCTTATAATTAGTAACATTGATTACCGGCAGGAGGTGAATAGAGTGGACGAAATAAAAAACGACATGGGCCTCCTCAAGTACAAGTCTAGCACCCTTAGTATTATCGGAAGCTCGATTTTGGACGATGATATATAGTCAGAGTCTTGCAATCTGCACTACTTCTGGTCTGTAACAATAAAATGGCTGTATTCCTTAGCTTATAATACTTCAGAATAATAATACTCTGATCTTGTACAGTTGTACGTAAGGCTTGATTAGCCGGCTTCAGAGACAGTTAAGGATGTATCATATCTCTACTACTTTTAATGTATGTACTATTCCATTATTCCGTAGCTTCTTACGGAGTATATGAATAAAGGGAAATTACCCTATTTCTCATAGTGAGAAACAAAATTTGATTATCATGCATGTCGTACCAAAGTACCAATAGAAAAGATGTAATGTTAAGCCTTAAGCCTCATTCTCCTCTTCTAACAATAATTTTTGATCCGTATAAATCAATTTTGATTACATAACAACAATTTATTTATATAACAAATACAACACTAAAGCAGCAAACATTGAGTTTTTATTGTATAAAAAAAAAACACATTATTACATTCTTGATTAATGAATGACAAGAATAATTGATGACTTAATGATATACTTTTCTAAGTAGAACTAACAAAAAGTAACTAGGATATAGATCCCAACTCTCGCAGAAACTGAGGGTTTTTTGTCAATCGCAGTCAACAAGATGCACAAAAGTAAATAAAGATTAAAAAAAAATTAAAAATGATCCAAAACAAGATGCACTAATCTAAATCTTATAGCTTGCATAGGACAATTTATGTAAATAATAACTAAATCTTTTAACCATGCGTCACTTTGAATTGACCACTCAATCTCATGGTTAATAGACGACTCAAACAAAATTAAAGAACTTAATCAAAATGCATTTTGATTTGCATCATTTAAAAAATAATAGGCTACATTGCGTCTTCAAGGAAAGGATAATCAGTGTAGCCAACGGGATGAGAAGTATAAAATGTCTCCCTATGGTAGTGATTAAGAGGAGCATTAAGCTCAAATCTTCTAGGCAAATCCGGGTTGGCTAGAAAGGTGCGGCCATAAGCTACAAGATCACAGTGCCCCTCGACCACAGCCTTATTTCCGTCTTCTCGGCCATAACCACCACCAACAATAAAAGTGCCATTCTCATGGAGATTAAGCTATAAGAGCATTCCATTTTCTCTTCGAAGATAACTTCCATTATCCTAGGTTCCGTTGCATGGCAATACAAAATTCCATATCTACTAAGTGATTTAGCCATATAAAGGGCTAAAGCCTCTGGATTCGAGTCTGTTGCTTCCATGAAATTAATATAAGGGAAGATTTTAAATCCGACTCTATCCGCCCCAATCTCTTTTACAACTGCTTCGACTATCTCTAGAGCGAATCTACAACGATTCTCTATAGATCCACCATATTCGTCTGTTCGGTCATTGATATTGTCTTTCATAAACTGATCAAGAAGGTATCCATGAGCACCATGGATTTCAACACCGTCAAATCCTGAAAATTCAAGTTTTTATATTAGAACGTGAAAACTTTTAATCCCCTACGAAGTTTATCTTTGTCGAGCTACTATCTAGTCGATACTTACCAGCTTGTATTGCATTTCTAGCAGCAAGTCTGAAATCATTTATAAGTGAAGGTATTTCATCAACTTTAAGCCGCCTTGGGGGAGAGAATTGATCAGTTTCAATGTTGTTGCCTCGAAGTTTAGGTGATAGAGTCTTATCAGTGCATGAGATTGGAGCTTCCCCATTTGGTTGAAAATCTATAATTTGCAACATGAAATAATTATAATGATAATTTTGCACCAACTAAGCTAAGGAAAGTTAGATAGATGAATAAATCCCAAATTTAAAGAAAAAAACAAGAAACACAAAAAAATTAATATATATAAGCAGAAATTAAAACTTATTACTAACAACAAATTTATTAATATATTTTAGATACTCCCTCCAGCCTCCATCACAAGTAAACTGACATGTTTGACTTTTTCACAGTTCAAATCTTAACTTTAACTATAATTTTTTAAAAACATAAAAATTACATATTTTATCATGAAATGAGTTGTTCGAAGATATTAATATAAGGTTTCATACTAAAACTTTTTTTTATAATTTTTATTGATATTTAAGTATGTAAAAAAAGGGTCAAATTATTGCATCATCATGTGTGCAAAGTTTAATTGTGTCATTTATTCTGCGACAAAAGAAGTAATGTACAAAAAAAGAAGTCATATTTAAGCAAGTAATCTCAAAAATCCTATTAATGTTAACAATATATGTTATTAACGGAACTGCGGGAACAAAAACAGTAAGAACAAAGTTACCGAAAATTAGACTGAGTCGCGGACTATGTCGCTTTCTTTAGAACATTCACGGCACTGCCCTGAAAATGTGCAAGCAGTTCGTACTAAACCGGATGTTCCCCAGGATAAAACAGCCTTTCTCTATTGTAATTATACCGGTGGAACTGCACAAAACCACCGGGCAACTAAACACCAAAAAGAAAAGAAACTGCTCGAGGGTTTTGTTTTTGTGAGGAAAAATAGAGAGGAGAAGAAGATTGCTTTTTGTATTTTTTGTGTATCAAAAACAGGAAATCAACACGCCTTTTATAGGCAAAATTGCAACGTAACTGCTGCTGTTTAATTAGGCACTAATCACGCAATTAAAACGGTCATAAGTTGAACGTTCAAAACGGTCACAGAAGATTAATGCGTGGCAAAACGTTTAGCAAAAAATCAGTGAAAACGTTTGCATGATTAACGCTCCATTAATCAGTTTTGAAAAAACGGTCAAATGTAATCAGTCAAAAACGTTTAGCAAAAATCAAGGAACTAATCACGCAATTAGCCTTGTCCAAAAAATAAGTTTATTTAATAAACCCGACCCGACCCAACCCAACCCGGCCCGGCCCGGCTCGGCTCGGTTCGGTTCGGCGCGCGTGTGTGTGATAGATGGTTTACCATATAGGTCCTCCCTCTCCACAAAATGTGGGTAGCCCAAGGGCCACACCCCTTTAGCCCACTCTCTATATTATAAAGAGAGTAAAACTCTCATTTCCCACCAATGTGGGACTTTGAGTTTTTTCACAAAATTCACACACTACACACTTGTTGTTCCAACAATCCCCCACTTGAATTTTTTGAAAACATTTTCGAGCAGAATCCATACATATATAGGTTGCGCATAAACAGAAGTGTTTTTCAACTTGAACTTCGACGTAGTGAGTACGATTCAGATTCAACAAGGGTGACTCAAAGTTTTGAACCCTATCTCTGACAACGTACCACACACAACCTACTCTTGGTGTTGTTCTAGACCCGTGCTATTTCGGCCATGCACGTCTATCCCAGTGTAGTGAATGCTCTAGAAATGCTGCCACACATTTCATAGGAAGCGGCCTAACTTCCACATTCACATAGGTGAATCTATCAAGAGTACTACTGTAGCTTGGTACTCCACTCCAAATTGGAGTATAGATTTCATTAAGAGTTCATATTAACTCATCCTTGATCGCTTCAGGAAATTATGTCTTTTGAACATATTCAACTCATAACACACCATAACTTGTTATTACCCTTTGAACCTATTTCTTGGGATCTCCAGTTCATAGGTTGGGTTACCATTATGTGTGGTTCATTTCAATGGCAATAGTCCCATTTTCTTAGAGGAAAAATGGACTTTCTCCCTAGCTAATCCTTTCGTCAAAGGATCAGCCAAGTTATTCTCAGTGCGTACGTGATCCACTCTAACAGCTCCGATAGAGAGATATTCTCTCACAGTGCTGTGCTTACGACGTATTTGTCGTCTCTTACCGTTGTAATAACGGTTCTGAACTTTTGCAATAGCCGCGGTACTATCGCAATGGATCAAGACAGCCGGTAATGGCTTTTCCCATAGGGGAATTTCACCTAGCAGGCCTCTTAACCAACCTGCTTCTTCACTAGCCGTAGCTAGTGCTATCATTTCTGACTCCATGGTGGACTGAGCCAAAATCGTCTGTTTCTTAGACTTCCAAGATACAGCTCCACCGGCTATAGAAAAAATATATCCACTAGTAGCCTTAGAGTCATCTGATAAGGTGTTCCAGTCAGCATCACTATAGCCTTCTAGTACAGCTGGAAACCTTTCATAATGCAACCCTAGGTTCATGGTCCTCTTAAGGTATCTCATGACCCTTTCAATAGCATGCCAATGCTCATTACCAGGACAACTAGTAAACCTGCCTAACAATCCCACGACATAGGCAATGTCGGGTCTAGTACAATCAGTGGCATACCGAAGGCTGCCAATGATGCTCGCATAATCAGATTGCCTTACGGCATCACCAATGTTCTTAAATAATTTAACACTGGGATCATAAGGTGTACTAGCAGGTTTACAGTCAAAGTAACTATATTTCTTTAGGATCTTCTCAATGTAACGAGATTGATCCAAAGAAACTCCATTTTCTGTCCTAGTAATCTTAATTCCAAGGATTACATTAGCCTCTCCTAGGTCTTTCATATCAAACTCAGCATTCAACAATAGCTTTACATCATTCACAGCATGAATGTTCGAGCCAAAAATTAACAAGTCATCCACATATAGACAAATTATAGTGCATATGTCATTCTCAAATTTTACATATATGCATTTGTCACTACCATTTATCTTAAAACCATGTGAGATGACTAAGTTATCAAATTTTTCATGCCATTGTTTAGGTGCTTGTTTGAGACCATAAAGAGATTTATCTAGCTTACATACCAGATGCTCTTTTCCTTGAACAACGAATCCTTCCGGTTGATCCATGTAGATTTCTTCTTCCAATTCACCGTTCAAGAATGCAGTCTTTACATCCATTTGATGTACTACAAGATTAAAAACAGAAGCAAGAGATATTAATACTCTAATAGATGTTACTCTAGTTACAGGTGAATAGGTATCAAAGAAATCAACATTCTCCCTTTGTCTGTAGCCTTTAGCTACCAAATGGGCTTTGAACTTATCAATGGTCCCATCAACTTTCAGCTTTCTTTTTAGGACCCATTTGCAACCAATTGACTTGCAGCCTGGTGGCAACTCAGTTAGATGCCAAGTTCGATTAGACTCAAGTGAGTCCATTTCGTCGTTCACGGCTTCTTGCCATAAATCTGCATCCACTGAGGTTAGAGCTTCTTGGAGGGTAGAAGGATCCTCCTCTACATTCAGAACTACAAAGTCTGGGCCGAAGTCTTTTGCTACTCTAGCCCGCTTGCTCTTTCTTAGTTCGGGTTCAGCATCCAAGTCTTGTGAGTTAGACCTGTCTTTAGGAATAATAGAGGAGGACGAGCCCCCACTATTTCTAGATTTAAAAGGAAACCTGTTCTCATAAAAATCAACATCATTAGATTCAATAATTACACGAGCATTTAAATCAAAGAATCTATATGCCTTACTGTTAATAGCATATCCAATGAATACGCATTCATAAGCTCTACTAGCTAATTTAACTCTTTTAGGATCAGGAATCCTAACATATGCTAGACAACCCCAAGTTCTGAAATAAGAAATGTTAGGTCGTTTATTACGAAGTATTTCATAGGGAGAAACCTTACTCTTAGTTTTTGGAATACGGTTTAAGACATAACAAACAGTTAGTAGGATTTCACCCCACCAATGATCAGCAGCACCAGAATATAAGGAAATAACAACTACTAATTCTGTAAAGGTCCTATTTTTCCTTTCAGCCTTCCCATTCATTTCTGGGGAATAAGGAGCTGTCCTTTCATGTATGATACCATGTGAATTATAAAATTCTACAAAAGCATCAGTATCATACTCAGTTCCACGATCACTTCGTAATCTTTTTATTTTCTTGTTAAACTGATTCTCAAATTCTGTTATAAACAACTTAAACATTTCAAAAGCATCACTCTTATTTTTCATCAAATAAATACAAGTATAATCAGAACAATCATCAATAAAGGTGATAAAGTATCGTTGTCCATTTCTGGTCAACGTTCCATTTAGTTCACAAATATCCGAATGAATTAAGTCTAATGGTTCTGAATTTCTAATCACTGATTTATGAGGTGTTTTTGTAATCTTAGCCAGACTACAAGAATCACATTTGTCAAAGTCATTGAGAGAGATATTTGGAATAAGGCCTAAATTGCTCATATTTTTTATGAGTCTTTTGTTCACATGACAAAGTCTAGTATGCCAAACATTAATAGTAGAACACAACATATAAGCAGAATTAGAAATTTTATTAACTTCAACATTCAGTTTAAACATGCCATCAGTAGCATATCCTTTTCCTACAAATATTCCATTCTTAGTTAAAGTAAACAAATCAGAACCTATGGTTTGTATAAAACCAGCCTTATTAAGCAAAAAACCAGAAACTAAATTCTTCCTCATTTCCGGAGTGTGTAACACATCTTTCAGAATGAGAGTCATGCCAGAAGTAAACTTCAACTCAACATTTCCAACACCAGCAATGTTAGTGGAATGGGAATCACCCAACAGTACTTTCTTATCATCGGTCTTTTCAGTGTATGTTTTAAACATTCGACGATCATAACAGACATGGCGTGTGGCACCAGTGTCTATCCACCACCCATCTGATCCACCAGTAAGGTTGATCTCAGTAACCATAGCCACAAAAGGCTCTTCAATCATGCTAGCCTGCGCAGGCACAGGGTTAGGCATGTTCCTGCACTTTCGTGCCATATGGCCTGGTTTTCCACACCGATAGCACAGAAATTGACCAGTACCATTCTTAGGGGGTTGTGACTGTTGTCTTCCATTGTTCTTTTGAAAATTCGGTTTATTGAAGTTATTCTTCCGGTTCTGAGGTTTGAAATTCTTACCAGCAGGTTTAAGTACTGCAGCAGATCGCCTAGGAGCATTATTAGTAGAGATTTGTAAAATCTCTTCCTTTAGATCCTGTTTTCTGGATTCTTCTTCTATACGTAGCCGAGTGATCAAACTCTCTAAGGAGAATTCCTTAGTCTTATGCCTGAGATTATTTTTGAAATCTTTCCAGGAAGGAGGCAACTTGTCAATAATAACAGCAATTTGAAATTGTTCATCAAGGGCCATACCTTCGGAAATTATCTCATGGGCAATTTTCTGAAGGTCGTGAGACTGCACTTCCACGGACTTATCATCAGTCATCTGGAATTTTAGGTACCTACTGACAGCATACTTTTTGGCACCTGCTTCTTCAGTATCATACTTTTTTTGTAGGGCATCCCACAAATCCTTAGCAGTATTTTCCATATTATAATAGTCATAGAGGTTATCAGACAGACCATTAAGTATATAGTTTTTGCACATGAAGTCAGTTTCATTCCAGGTTTCGATTTCACTATTCAAGTAAGCTAATTCATCTTCAGGAGCATTATCAGGAATAAATGGCCGAGGGGCTGTTAAGGCTGAATTAACTTTTTTGACAGTTAAGAAAAATTGCATTTTCTGTTTCCATCTTTTAAAGTGAGCTCCTTCAAAACGGAAGGGCTTGTTAAGGTCAGCAGACATAGTAATATCTTCGGTAGACATATAGTTCATACAGGCAGAAAATGAATGTTCTAAAATTGTTATTAACGGAACTGCGGGAACAAAAACAGTAAGAACAAAGTTACCGAAAATTAGACTGAGTCGCGGACTATGTCGCTTTCTTTAGAACATTCACGGCACTGCCCTGAAAATGTGCAAGCAGTTCGTACTAAACCGGATGTTCCCCAGGATAAAACAGCCTTTCTCTATTGTAATTATACCGGTGGAACTGCACAAAACCACCGGGCAACTAAACACCAAAAAGAAAAGAAACTGCTCGAGGGTTTTGTTTTTGATACACAAAAAATACATACCCTTGAGCATACATATTGAAGGTAAAGATGGAACTAGTGGCCTCAAACATACCCTTGAGCAGTTTCAGAAACTCCTGTTGCTTTCAGCTATGAGCAAACCTCCTTTTGTAGTCCGTTGAGCGTAATATAAAATTGCATGTGGTTGTGGTATATTTCCATAAGACCTTGATCTTGTAAGTGGTGGTAAAACAACCCTGAAATTTAGACATAATTTTTAAGATTAATTTGTCAATAACTTGGAAGGAAGGAAGGTCGATCGCGTCAGTATCAACACATACATATCATAAAACGAGCACATTGCTATCTTATGATCTGATCGCTCATGAAAGACATACAGGGAATTAAAAAAAAAAAACAATCTTTGAAGGGAAGAAAAATTCAAATCGTTAGCAAGATGAGGAACAATTCACGACTCTTTATTATTGAAGGCGTTTAACTAACCTATAAGCTAATGAGAAACAATTATCATGCCATCTGTGTTGGACCAAAATTAAGACCACTACAGGAGGATTCACATGTAGTCATGGTGGGTCCTAGGTATAAGCTAATGAGAAACAATTATAATGCCATCTGTGTTGGACCAAAATTAAGACCACTACAGGCGGATTCACATGTAGTCATGGTGGGTCCTAGGTATAAGATAATGAGAAACAATTATCATGCCATCTGTGTTGGACCAAAATTAAGACCACTACAGGCGGATTCACATGTAGTCATGGTGGGTCCTACGTATAAGCTAATGAGAAACAATTATCATGCCATCTGTGTTGGACCAAAATTAAGACCACTACAGGCGGATTCACATGTAGTCATGGTGGGTCCTAGGTATAAGCTAATGAGAAACAATTATCATGCCATCTGTGTTGGACCAAAATTAAGACCAGGCGGATTCACATGTAGTCGTGGTGGGTCCTAGGACACAGTATTTTTTTTTAAAAAAAAAATTAAATAAAATAATTCCTGATGTTATTTTCTTTTTTCCTTTTTGCGTCTATTTCACGGTCCCAGCCTCCCAGGACACAGTACTCCTTCCTCTCTCTCTCCTCCATTGAACATACATGAAATTCTTCATTGAAGAGGCTTTTGAGCTTTCTCTCCTCCATTGAAGCAGTCTCTAAGGTTAGATGCTTCTTTTCCTTTAATCATCTAATATTAATTTTGACAATCTAGTGTTAATCGTGTATTTAATTGTCAGTATATACTCTAATACTCAATTTAGGGTTCTTCGAAGTTGGATAATTGAACTATTGGTTATTGATACTCGAAGAATTTAACGTAATTTTTGGAGTCTAGTTTGATAATTGAGTCAATTTTGGTTGCTAATGTGTTGCGGGGTTTGGTTTGTCCGTTTGAGTAACTCTTTAATGTCAGGATGAAACCTTGAAAATTCCAAGGGGTGGGGGAATGGTTTCAGGTAGGTGAAGCACCGTCTCAACATAACCAAGGCACCACATCACCTTGCACTACCAATCCAATCGAAGCACTGCACCACCACCTCCATTTCAGTTTATGTCTCTTATTAGATCTTGTTATTCTAAGGTTGGGGGGAGGTTTCAGGTAGGTGAGGGTGGATTTATGGGGGTCAGGGTGGAGGTGGCTAATCAATGGTAAGGGTGGCTGGGCGGGTTTTTCAAGAAAGTAGAGCCGTGGAGGTGAATTTAAGGTCAAGGGGTGGAGGTGAACTTATGAGGGGTGGGTGGGGTTTCCGGTTGGGTAGGTGAATGTCATGGTGATGGTGGTTTTTGGGTGAGTTTTGAAGTTAAGGGCAGTGAGGCGGTGATGATTTGGGTGGAGGTGGTGGCAGTGCAATGGTGGTGTGGTGTGTCTTTGGTCAGTCTACGGCGGTTTCGGGTCAGGGAAAGGGATAAATATTCGCTGAACGAGGAGATAGAAAACGGATCTAGAACGAAGGTCAAGGTGAAATCATTGGTCAAAGATTTTTGTTTTTACCTGTCAATTGCTAATTACCTACTAGCAACGTGATCATACGAAGATAAGGCGGTCGATCTTAAAAAAAAAAAAAAAAAATCATTTCATCTAACTTAGTCATTGAAATTCAACTATAGTAAATTAGTAATAGTGCCAAAAATTAAACTTCTCATGTATGTGGCTATAATTAGGAAATATAATAAACAGAAGATAATGAAGATGAAAGAATAAATAAAGCTCACGCACCTATTAGAAAGTTGGAACTTGCCCATTTGGTAAGGGCTCAATAGAGGGATAGTTGTTGAATCGGTAGCCATTATTTTCTGAACTAATAATTTATTTTTATTTTTTGAGGGAAACTAATAATTTATTTTGGTACTTCTGTACGAATTGTTTCTTGAATTATTTATAGTGCTATAAACCTCTTATAATCAAACGAAAAAGGAGTTCACCCACTACTTTTCAAAAAAAATTCAAGTCACGCAAGTAGTATATCTAAGTAATTAAGGATGAAATTTAGCGTCAAAAAATAAGCGCCTAAGATAATAGGCGGCTACTAGAACAATCCTTGTGATCCATTAAGTTCTACACATTTTTTTTTAACACTTTCGTCAATGTGCATTTTTAGTCTCTAATTACGTTGTAGTTAAAAAAATTCTAAAAATTATATATATTTGACAATTTTAAAAGGCTAAAAGTACTCATCAAGATAAATCAAACAATACTCCATTTGATCATATTTTTTCTTATATATAGAAAATAACTTAGAAAATCCTCAAGTTGTGAATAATGTCAAGATTCCAAATGAGAGTATTGTAATATAATCCCCTAGCAGGCCATAATCACCACTTAGCTCCTATGTACTCAGACTCGTTTAGAAGTGTCTAACATGAATACTTGTGTTATCAAACATACACATCTGTTATTTGAAAATTATGCATGATATTTTTGTCCCATAAAAATAATTTAAGGTATTATATGAAATTTGAGTAACACAGTAATTAATTGATAATGAAGAGTGCATGTAACATATTGGCAAGATAACACAGTGATAATAGTGAAGTCTTATCAATTATCAATAATCCTCAATTTGCATGGAGCTCACAACATTTGACCACATTTGCATGGAAAGTGTCATTTTATTATGAAATGAACGAAGTAGGTGACTAAACGTCAACCACATAATAACCTACAACAATATATACATGGGAGCATTGTACCTTCCCAATCGATCTCACATTCAAGTTAAATACGAGGTATGTTCTTATGCTTGACTTGGAATCTGCTAAACAAAATTTCATACTCTCTCCGTCTCCAAAAGTTCGACCCTTTTGACCTAATTTTAGTCCCAAAATGTTCATCCCATTTTCATTTTAATACCCTCTAATTTGCAATAATATTTGTGCAAAATTAGCTTCCCCATGCAAATTTTGCTTTTTCTATATACTTTTATTACTTTCTCTCTCTACTTTTTTGCAATTTCAATGTAAATTTCCCTTTTCAATTTATTTTTCTTAGTTTCCCCATACACTCTTATACTTCCAATAACTTTCTTAATACCCGCGAAATCAACCCAAAAAGGTCGTTCTTTCAGGGACAGAGGGAGTAGCTAATTAGAGTCTACCTAGCGTAATTGCTTACGTTCCTTTTTCAACCGGCTTGCTTTTTGAGGTCTTATCAACATAGTCACAATCGATTTTAGGTGATGCAATCTCAATTTATGCAAATATTATTACTCCTTTTTTTTTTGACAAGAATAATTATTCCTATTTTAATATTATGTCTCTCTCCGTTTATTTTTAAGTGACATAATTTAATTTCAAATTTTGCACATATGAACTTCAAGTAACCAACACGTACATTGATAGTAACAGTAATAGTGAGGTCAATTTCAACATAGTGACACCCGATTGAAAAGAAGCATAGATATATATATGCTTCCTTAGCTAATATTAATATAAAAAGCAGAACAAATAATTTATATACTTGTTCTCTGTGGACGCGACTCTTATTTATTATAAACCATAATACTAGTTAGGAGGATAAGATTAAATGGTAGGTTAGTTTCATAACTTCCATAAACGTAAGTTTATCTTAAAATAAATACAAGACAATGAAAAATAATAATTTACATGAAAAGCCCTCACAAACTATCAATTCAAGGAAAAAAAAAAAAAAACCACGTACTAGAACTTTGAAGAAGAGTTACGTAAGATTCTATACTTTATATAAAGGGGCCTTGGGTCATCATTCTTCAATGCACATTAACAAGGAGAGATCTATCTCTAATAACTGTCTTAGCTTCCTAGCTTAGAGTTTTTGAGATGAGTGTGTTGTAATACAAAGGGTATTATGAGGGATTTCAGGTCTAATCTGGTCCGATCCATTTGTTAATTGTTTGGTGACGATTCATAGATCTTAAATTCAAAAGATAATAGAAAATTGTTGTATATTGTCATCCAAAATTTTTTACAATTAATTAAGAAAACAAATACTAGAGTCTTAAACCAACCAAGCTAAAAAAATTAACAAGGAAGCTGGTTATAATCTAAAAGAAAACCACATCGGTACCCCCCTGGGCTTATGGTGAATCTCTTCAACTCTTTGCTTGCCTACTTTTGTACTAATACAAACCAAAACTTGGAATTCACCTCGTACCTTTGTTATTATAGTCATACATATCGTGTTCGACTTTAATTTTGGTGCAAACTTTAAAATGTTAGAGAGAAAACCTAATATACACTCTGTAAGTTTTATTGACACGTACGATATGAAAAATGACACATGATTGACCTGATAGTGATCCGATAATAAGGTAATACTAAATAATTACTCCTAACTTAAAAATAACCTTATTTGAATATTAAATTTGGTCAACTCGGCACAAAATCAGCCAAACCGAAAAAGGATATTAATTGGATTTGGCCATGAATCAACCTTATCCTAATCAAATAGAACCAAACTTCACTGAACTGAAATCAACCTGACCCAAAGTCATCCGACCCGAAATTATCCTTGTCAAACTCGTTTTAAATCCGATACGAATTTATCCGAACCTATCTAAAGTTAACCCGACCCTGGGTCAACAAATCTTGTCCCAACCCAAACCGAGGTGGGTTAAAAGGGTAATAACTTTGACCCAAATAGACCCGACCCATCGTGAGTCAACCCAAACTTTATCTGGTTAACCAAATTAACACCCCTTAATCTTAATTTAATCACAAGTACCGGGGCTTTACCAATTGCCCAGTTTGCCCCTCATTTGAACAAGCTCACACACAAACAAAAAAGAAAAAAATCTACGGAGTATATCTTGACTTCGTGAGTACTTTTATTTAAGATCCAAAGGAGTAACTATACTTAAACTAGACAAGTACTACATAGACGCACAATTAGAGGTGTCAATTCGAGTGTTTGGATCGGGTCTAATGAGATCAGGTCGGGTCAGATCAGATTAATTTTTAGAGTCGAGTCATGTTAAATTATTAGATGTACGCGAGTCAAAATCTAAGTTGGATACTTTTCGGATCGGGTGTGATTTTGACACCCGATCAAATTCAGCATATTGCATATATTAAGCCTTTTTCAGTTTGTAAAGCTGACATGAGGCAGAAATATTTACTCGCCAACTATTTTGATTGACTTTATTGTTTATTCTTCTTCTTCAGTCCCAGATTCAGATCCATCAATCCTATTTAACTAATACCCAGGTACTGTATTATTTTCTTATTTCTCTTTTATAAGTTTCATAAATTGATGTTTAATTTCATCTAATTATCATTCGTTTTTCTGCGTTGCCGTTAATCCTGCAATTTTAATTGTATATTTTCTAACCCATTCATTTTCTGCTTTCAATTTCTCATTTCATACATTGGATGTTAAAATTAACCCAAAATCTTGTTATGTTGCAGCAATGGCTCTATCTTTGCAGCGTTACACTTGGCCAGATGACAACAGTCATTTTAATCATCTCTTGAAACAAAGGTCAAATCTTTATATCCCTCTTCCTTTCAATTTAATTTATTTATTGATGGGTGTTTTTTATTTGCTGATTATGTTTTTGGGGATTAATTTTTCAGAATTAATAAAGAAAAAGAGAGGTCAATGTTAATTGCAATTGAGAAGATTGATCATTTACCTGAAAATTTAATCATTGAGATTCTGTCAAGGTTACCTGTGAAAGATCTATTACAGTTTAAGAGTGTTTGCAAATCATGGCATGCTATTATTTCGAGCCCAAATTTCATATCCAAACACCTGAATAACTACTATAACAATGATGAAAGTTGGCGCGGTTGTATCCTTGTCCAATATTATGTTAGCCATGCTGAACTTCAGCTGTATGAGCTGTTGGTTGATGAATCTCCTCAAGTTTTAGCTGATGAAGTGTTATATAGTATGCCAATGTATAGCTCGTATATTTGTGGTCCGTGTCATGGATTATATTATCTGTACCAGTACGATTCTAGTGGTCGTGCTTTGTGGAATCCGGCTATCAATGAGTTTAAACCCTTGCCTAAAATGATTTGTAAGCCTGATCTTCCATCTGAATTCACTTATGCTTCTAATGAAGTTTATGGTTTTGGGTTTGATCCTGTTAGTGGAGACTATAAGGTGGTTGTTATGAAAGGTTATTGGCTTACTAATTATGATGATGAAAGTGGTGTCAAGCATCCTCCATCAGTCCTTGTCTATTCCTTAAGGACTGATTCGTGGAGGTATTGTGGAGATCTGGCTAGAGCTTATGATTTGGAAGGTAATAAATGTTACATTTATGTGAATGGATGTTGTTACTGGTTCGGATCATTTGAATATAGTTCTGAGTATAGTTCTGAAGTGATCATTTCTTTTGATATGGCTACTGATGCGTTCAAAGAGATTGATGTTCCAGACTATGCACAACCAAGTTCTAGGTGTCTTGGAGTGTATGATGATTCTCTTGCGTTTCTGTCTCTCCACGAGACGGACAAGAAGTTCGATATTTGGATATGGAGTGAGGAGTGTTGGACCAAGAAATTTACTGTGGGGCCATTGTCAGATGTTCGTAGTCCTGTTGGTCATTGGAAGGATAACAGGCTCTTACTAGAATGTGAAGATGGTAAGCTAGTCTTATTGGATCCCGAAACACCACAAGAAATAAAGGATCTTGCATTTCAGAAGCAGAGGTGGTGTGAAGGAGTTTTTGCTTACATGGAAAGTCTGGTTTCGATCAAAGATAAGAAAGAGGCAGGGTTGCAGCCTGAGGAAGTTGAAGCAGAAAATAACTAAGCATTGGATTTATCATTCTCTCCAACATACCAGTGCAAAACCAGCCTATGTTTGTCAAGTGCTTTGTTTAAAAATAAAGAGCAATCTTTTTTTTTTCTTGCAAGTAATTCAGAGCTGAATAATGCCATTGATATTGTTATATGGTGAAATATCTTGTAAATTAGAGATAGCTTTGATGTGTTGTCTGTAATTTGCTTATTTTGTGTATTCCAATTGATGAAATAAGAGCCTTATCAGCTCATCTTAGTTTGTATTTTTATGTTAAAAAACATGTTATTAATTTGTCCAAAAACTAGTTATGCTGGAAATGTGTTACACAACACCAAACACAGGGCTGTGCTGCTGTTGGCATCATCTTCTTCATATGTTCTTATCCTTGCATATGGTACATGCTTACGGTACTAGCAACAGCTGATCCTTATTCAGTTGTGGTGGCTGTTTAATTTTAAGATCTCATTTTACGGCCTCTGTTTATGTAATTATATGGTTGCTTGCTCCGGTGTTTTTATGCATTTCTAAAATTTGGTGTAATCATTGAAATTATGTCACGGAACCTGTCGGAAATCCAGCACCATTACCTGTTCTCCGGTGAGTCTCCTCCTTATCTCACGCCAGTAAAGAAGCAGATAAGAGGGATCCAAGCTTTAATTTCCTAAGAAATCTTCAACCATAATACTTGTCTCTTCTTGTCAGTATTTTTTTCTCCCTATTACAACTTTGTAAATCAGCCACAAGAAATAACTCATCGATAGCTTTTCTTATTTTATAAACAATAGCGGCCTTTGCAGGTGGTGTAGGAATTGAAAATGGATCCAATATCTCCTATTACCTTGGCTATGAAGATCAACCAAGAAATTTGATAACTGATTTGTTGTTCGTTTGGAGTAGATGAAATTTGTCATCGTTGAAAGAAAGCTCACCAATCCAATAGACTAGGAATACATTTGATAAATCTCCATTGGCTCGTACGCAATTAAGCCTATGGAAACTCAATAAGGTTTCATCCTAATAAAATCAATTGGTGATATGACAATAGATACTACTCTTATCAAGAAATTAACCCTAAAAACCTTTTTTAAAAAATTAATTGTTTTAGGAACCTTTTGGTGGATAACTAGATTAATGCCCGCGCGATACACAGTAGTAATAATCTTTTCACAAAAATGATTGTGATATAATACAAAAATGAGACAACTCATGTGGAATAACAAATGCAATGCATATAGAAAAATAAAATAATAAGGCAAAAATTATTGAAACTACAATTGAGAGAAATAAAAATTTGTGGTTGATTAGTTGTGTTGAAAATATTTTAAAGTGGTATACATTATATTACATTAATGATGCATATTATTTTCCAATAATACTATACAATCTAGTGATGACTATATGACTAAAGAATTATTTATAAATGCCTTTTAATAAACATGAAAATATTAATCAAACAACATAATAAAATCTACTGTAAAACTATTAGCACAACATACATGTAAATATATAAATTACAAATAATATATCACCTATCCAATAAAATAATAGAAATATATACTACTCGAATTATTAAAGGCAATAATAATCCACAATAATGCAACCCTAACCTATATTATTAATAGTACATTTTCTGTTTATGAATTGATGCTCTACATGATCGATATCGTCGCTCTTTGTTATATTATATAAAAACGTGTTTGAAGCTATCCAATAATTGTAGTTTGATCAATGTTTTTTTTGGAAAGGATACACAAGAAGATGTCACTTGTCACTACGTTCGATGTGTCTTTTACTATACACCTTATCTATAACATCGAATGTAATAAATTTATTACCTCAATAAAATGTTTCAGCAAAAGATAATATTTGTTTGCATTTACTAATATATTAATTTATTTAGTTATGTAATAACAAAAAAATGATTGATATTTCACATTTTCCTATAATTAGACATATGATATAGTTGTCGAACACATTTTATTTTATAGTCATATCTAATACTCTATTAGAGGTATTTGAAAATAAAATTAAAGTGATACTTTGAAGTAATTTATTTAATATCAATTATATGAATCAATTTTAATATTACTTTTTGAGAAAAATTCAATAATACTCCGTCTAAAAAATGTGTAGGCAGTAATGATAGTATTCTGTACCTAAACCAATGACTCACTTTTTTAATAATTATAAAAAGAGTAAAAATAATATTTTAGGTAAATGTGTATAGAAGAATTAAGAATACGAAATAAAAAGAAATACATTTTATGTAAAGATAATATAAAAGATTTGGAATAATATTATTATAGTTGTATTTTACAAATATTCCAAAAATAAAAGATTTTTTTGCTAAAAGGGGAGAGGGAGTTTTGGAGGGAAAATATAGCACCAGAAAATGACACGTGTCATTCCTAATGTCTGTTTTAGTATTATGTTGTTATTAATGTATCTCTTTAATTTCTAGTTGTGAATTGTGATAGTCCGTACCATTTTTGACAAATTATTCCCATATATAAATTAAATTTACTTGATGCCAAACATAGATGAAAACAATACATCTCAATTATAAGGACCACATTATCGTACAATGCATCAATAGTTTGGATTCATTGCGTTGTTATTTAGTAATAATACTGAGTATTAGCTTCCATGATTGAGCATATAAAAACAATCAAGATAAATCAAACGTTAGACATGCATTGAAAATATGTATGATAGTGACTTAATGGTACCACGTATACTGTATTTATTACTCGTTCTTATTTTATTCTCATCCAAAATTCCAAACAAATCAATTATATAGGGCCCTCAATGCACACGCTAACAACGTGCTGAGTAGAATTTCCATCCAAACAAACAAAAAGTGCCTCTTAGCTTGTTTGTCCTTTTCTTCTTATTCCCTCATCTTACTACTCCTTCCTTCGTTTCACAATTGACATGTTCAACTTTTTTTCACTACTTATATACTAGTTACGTATTAAAAACAAATACTTATATATGTGAAATAAATTAAAAAGGCTTAAGATAAGTATTTCGACCAGATTTACTTAAATTGTCGGAAACATAGTTTAATGGCCGTAGTCCAAATACATAGTGAACCACCATTGCTAAGGTGGTCTCAAAAGTGGTGGCCTAGCACCCATAGTAAGTTGGTTAGAGGAGATACAAAGTTTGTTGCCAAAAGAAATGTCACTGCCAATACATACAACCGACCCTAGCATAGCAGGGCAAATAATTACACAGATATCCAAAATGGGCTTAACTTCCATGTGCTTCTAGTGGAAGGAGTTAGATGCACATAGCTTGCCTGGCCGCCACATCTGCTTCCCTGACTGAATCCCTAGACCCCTTGCACAGCCTTCCCCTTGGTGTCTTGCTTAGAAGGTCCTTGCAAAACAGATAGTGGTTCCCCATTTCATCAACAGCAGGGTTAGCTTTGTTTATTCTTGCAACAAGCCTTTGACAATCAAAAATAATGGTGAAATCTTCCCATCCTTCTTTAATTGCCCATGCAGTAGCTACAATAATGGCTATTGTTTCAGCCAGTAGGGTTAGCTTTGTTTATGTCCCCTCACTCGTGCCTGAAATTTCTAACAATTACATCAAATAATTGGATCTGCATCCGACACTCGATTGCAAGAGCGGATCCAAGGGTTAGACCCAAAAATAATAATAATAATAATAATGCAATTGGATATAGCTTCCTTCCTTTCTCTTTCTCTACTCTTGGGGAATTAGAGAAGGAGGCGGTTGCATTGCTGAAGCAGATTCAGAAGTTCTCGAAGACTCAAGACATTAGGGCACGTGCTGCTGCTCATATCTTCACTAGAATAGGATTTGCTATAGCTAGAGGAGTGGGGGTCCAGATTGTATCTCGGCTTCCCACTAATTTTTTGTAGGTTGTATGACTTTGTCTTTTTTGAGATAATAATAATAATAACAGCAAAGATATTGATTTTGATAGATACTACGGAGTATTATGAATCATTTGTTCTCGCTATACGACACTTATTTTTTATTAAATCAAAGAGACTGATTATCACAAGCACTGATATGTTAGGTACTCTGTAATTTTTCGTTTCCCTAGCGAAATCAGTTATGTTGATGATCAATGGTCTCTTAAATTGTGTTTTCAAATATACAATCACGCACTCAATTTATTAATATAAATAATATAGACATCAAATGATGGATACACGCAAAGTCTAATACAATAAAAGTGGTTGTATTATTTTATAAATAACTCCAACTTAAGTTGGTAAAAAAATGATAATACAGTAATAATCCACGTATAATTTGTATTTTGTTCGTTTTATATTAGAAAATACATTTCATTCAGGCACGTTTGCCCATGCATACAACTATTTTATATATCCTGATTACATATTTGCCCATGCATACAACTAATTTATATATCCTTGATTACATATTAGCAATAAATATAAAAATTTGATCTTTGAAAAATAGATGCTGAGATGAATCGATCCCATAACTATGTTTTTTCTCAACAAAATCACAAAAATCAAATCAAAGTAAGTTGTGTGAATAATGCATAAAATCAAACCGTGTCATTTAATTTGGAACAAAGAAAGGTGCCATACACATCAATATTACTTTCTTACCTTTTCTCTCTACTATATTCAGTACCCGTGTCTAGGTGCCATATATGCCTATATAAAGAGACAACATTTTCTAACCTACACACATCTTTAAATTACTTGGTTTCTTACTTTCTTACCTTTCATTCTCTCTACTATATTTAGTTGTTGTTATACGTACACATCGATATAATATTTCCACTCAACACAAGCTTTTGGCTTAGTTTTGTTGTAAGTTACTCTGATCACCATACTCTTCCTTTATTTTTTTTTAATCATGTTTTTTTTATTATAATAATTGGTCCTTAATTTATACAATTTCTACAAAATGAACTTTGTTGATTATAATAATTTATCCATTTTAAAACCATTACTTTTTTGCTCCTCCTCCCATCTTGATTTCCTGATTTCCATACACTTCGTAAGAACAAAGTGCTGACATATTTTTTTTGGTAACCTACTAGGTAAAAATGCAACAAGAAAATAAGAAGGCATGGCTTGTTCTCACGATAGCTATATGGGTCGTCCTTCAACAGGTTAATGCAGCTGATGTAACCTTCAAACTCGAACCAAAACCTACACAGAATACTTATAACACCTTTCTGCAAAGTATACGCAGCCAAACTAAGGATCCAAGCTTAGTGTATGAAGGAATCCCAATGATCCGACCACCAACCAACCCAGATACATATCTTTTGGTTGACCTTGAATCTAAAAAGGATAAGAATGAGATATTCGTTACACTTGCTTTAAGTAGAAACGACTTGTATGTAGTGGCCTTTGCTGATAAATTTGGAGGCAAAGTTCGCGGCCATTTCTTTTCCAATCTTAACATTGACACCATTGATAAGGCAAAGAAAGTTTTTCCAGAAGTTCAGGTTTTCATAAATATAACGTACGGGGAAAGTTACAGTCAAATCGAAAGCAATGCTGGTACAAACCGATTAAGTTTTCCGTTGGGGTTTGATAACCTTAAAACTTACATGGAAAAGGTCTATGGGATGGATACTAAGGCCAAAGATTATAGCAAAACTGAAGCTCGGTTCCTACTCATCGCGATTCAAATGGTTGCAGAGGCCGCACGTTTCAAGTACATCCAGGGGAGAGCTATCGTTACTACAAATCCTAACAATTATAAAATACTGTCGTTAGAGAACAACTGGGGAGCTATTTCGAAAGGCATTCGGAACGCTGTTAAGAAAGTCATCAATCCTGCGTTAATTTTACAATACCCTAATGGTACAACATGGACAGTTACACAAGTGAGTGATATAAAAAATGATATGGGACTCCTTAAGTATGTTATGTAATACTATACTGTGGTGTATACCCCTCCGATTTTTTTTTTTTTTTTCAAATTTAAATAATAAAAGGAATCGGATTGGAGTGAGCGGTATTCTAGCTAAGAAACTTCCAAAAAAATAAGCTCTATGTATAATGACTAATTAAAGAATAATTTCGATACTCCAATCGAAATAAACGCTCATCTAAGGGACGACTTTATAGGGGTGGCCTTGCCACATTTTATTATGTAATCTATTTTATTTTTTTGAATAAATGGGCTTGGCCCTCGTTTGCATCAAACAAAAAAATATAAAAAAAAATATAAAAAAAAATAATAATTACAAAATAATGATATCTTGTCCTGTGCACTACGCAATGACAATTCTATTGATTACGAAGTAGTAGAAATTATTTTATACTTAACTAGTGTGCAACTTGGCAAATATCTGAGATACGATTGCTACTTAAAATAAATTGTACAATAATCGAGTAGGTTTATTTAATTCTGTTCTTAATTTTGATAATTATCTTGAATACTCTTTTTATTGTGGGTTGTTTTATATTGTAATATGTCTTGTATATTACGATCTTAAAATGTTCAACAATTATTGATTGTTTATTTGTTTTAATAAATCTTATTAGAAAAATTATTACAAAGGAAGACAATTATTTTTCAAAACTAAAAAAATTAAATTTGATATGTTATTTCACATTTAGTATTTAACTGTCGTATAATCATTGTGAACAAAAATTAGTACAATTCAAAAATTATCTAATCCAACTTAACTATATTTTTGTTTTTTGCTTTTTGTTTTTTTTTTTTTTTTTTGACAGAACTATATTTTTGTTGAGTAAATAGAAAAGCATAATAATTAATAGGTTTTTTCATAATTATATACTTGTTGGATCCAACTTCAAGCCTTTGTATAATTAAGCATTTCTGGGTTGTCACATTTAGTATAGAGTACATGTTATTGGCTAAAGATGTAGGTTTTTTTTTTTTTTTTTTTTTTTTTTTTTTTTTTTTTTTTTTTTATATATCTTTTTGAAAAAATAAAGATGTGATATGGTAAGCTCCTATTGTATAAAGATACCAGGTGATCTGATTTGACACGTGATATAGGGCTTGTATTAGAAACATAATTTAACATATATATTAAGAAAAATTGACATGAATATTATGACCTTTCGTGGGTGGAGCTAAGGAGGGGGTGATTTCGTGAATGGGGCTGGGGAGGGGCGGTTTCGTGGGTGGGGTTGGGGTAGTCAACGCCGGTAAATGGAGTTTGACCCCATTTTCCGGCATAAAGGTATGGTTTTGCCAACAAAAAAATTTAATTATGGTATGTCTTTGCAAAAGAAAAATTATAAGGAGGTTTCTTACAAAAAAATTCTTATAAAAGGTGGTTTTTTTGTTAAATTTCCTTAATCAAAACCAAGTTATGCTGGAAATGTGTAACACACCAGTGACACCACCTACCAAACACAAGTTGCGCTACTGTTCACGTTATCATTTTTATATGTTCTTATCTTTACACATGAAATTGTTGGAAAAATACCTGTTGATTCCCAGTGAAAAATGAAGAGTTATAGCACTTTCCTTGAACAAAATCGTCATTCTCGAAATCAAAGATTTGTTCTCCTTCTGTTGTGCCGTGGTTTGGAACCCACCGACTTAGAAGCGAAATACGCCACCATCGGTACAGGTATCCTACTGACGCACGCCCCCCAAGTTTTACACAACGACCTCCATAATTCGTGTACCCGAATTCGAAGGTTGAATTTGCTCAAGAACAACTCATATCTCAAAAGGGTAGGTTTGTGTTTATGTGTTTAGGGTTCAATGATAATAAAAATCATCATAATGAACTTTTGGGGTTATGAAGTATATATATAGGATAGACAAGAAAGGAAACCAATTAAGGCTTGCCTTCCACGTCACATGCGCATGAGAGCTATCGAGCTATAGCTCACTCGCTACTTCTTGGCACATCCGGTCGTGGTCTACACTAACCAACCAAACAAGCGGCCACTAACAACCATGGAATCATCCGGCCGAATGATTAAATGGGCTCGAAATGCAAAGCCTAGAAATTACCTTTGAGCCAAGGAAAGTAGTGAAGGGGCAGGCACTTGCTGACTTCATTGTTGAAATGACTAGGCCGGCTGATCCAGAAAATTCTAACCAAGTCTGGAAGGTATATGTGGACGGGAGCTCCACAATGAACGGCTGCGGTGTTGACGTCATATGTCAGTCTCCTGAAGGGGACAAATATGAATATGCACTGCGTTTTAAGTTCCAGGCCTTGAACAATGAGGCAGAATATGAAGCCCTACTAGCCGGCATCTGCATGTGTAAGGCCGTTGGGGCAAAGAAAGTGGACGCTTGTTCTGATTCGCAGTTGATTGTTAGCCAATACCATTGTGACTACGAAGCCACACATCCAGCTATGATTAAGTATCTACAGGCGGTCAAGGAAGAGGCTGGGACACTTGAAGAATTCCACCTTAGTCAAGTGCCCTGGTCCGAGAATAACCAGGCGGATGCCCTCTCCAAATTGGCATCATCCGCCTCTTGTGACACACCAAGGTCTATTTTCTGGGAAGTGATGAAAAAAAGGAGCATTGAGGAGGAGCCCATTGGAGTCCTTGATCGAAGCTCAACCTGGATGGATGGCATCCGGGCATACTTAACAGACGACACCCTGCCGGATACTTACCCAGAGATGATCATAATGAAAAAGCATGCGTCTAACTTTGAGATTCACAAAGAAACTTTTCAAGAAAGGCTATCTACAACCTCTTTTGAAGTGTATTACCCCAGAAAAGGGCCGAGAGGTCCTCGAAGACTATTCCGCGCTTCCCACATATGCGGCAGGACCCTAGCAAAGAAAGCCAGGTGGCAAGGCTACTTCTGGCCTACCCTAGAAGCAGACGCCATGAAGATGGTGAAAAATGTGTTAAGTGTCAAAGGTTTGGCAAGCTCATCCATCGTCCGGCAACTGATTTGACGGATATCCATAGCCTAGTACCATTTGCTAAATGGGGCATGGACATTCTGGGTCCCTATACTCCTTCTACAGGCAGACGGAGATATATTTTGGTAGCAGTCGACTACTTCACAAAGTGGGTAGAAGCGGAGGCAGTTAAGGGAATTAAAACAAAAGATGTCATCTCCTTCATTTGGAGAAATGTCATCACTTGGTATGGGGTATCCATGTCTATGGTCTTTGACAATGGTCCTCAATTCGAGACGCCTGCTCTCAAGAACTGGTTGGGAGACCAAGGGATCTCTCACTGTGCATCAGTTGGTCGCCCCCAAGCAAACGACCAGGTTGAAGCCTTTAACAAGTTAATCTCTGATGGCATCAAAAAGAAGATTGAAAGAGTTGGCGACCTGTGGGCTGACGAGCTACCGCATGTTCTATGGGCCATCAGGACGACTGAAAAAGGGGCGACTGGTGAAACTCCATTCTCATGGTTTATGGGGCAGAGGTTGTTCTGCCTATTGAGCACTATGAGCCGACTCTTCGAGTCATGCTTTATGACGAAGAGGCTAACTGGGAGGCCATTAGCTAGCATTGGATTCACTTCTAGAACGCAGGGGCAATGCAGCCTTGCGCCATGAGACCTACCATCTAAGAATGACGAGAGCTTACAATAAAAGAGTGCACAAGCGACCCCTAAAAGTATGGGACTTTGTGCTACGAAAAATGGAAGCAGTCGGTAGGGAAAACGAGCAGGGAAAGCTGACTCCTAATTGGGATGGCCCCTACCGAATCTATGAAGAAGTTAGAGGCGGCACCTACCGCATGGAAACACCAAATGGCAGGCAGCTAGCCAGAACTTTGAACGTTACTTGAAAAAGTACTAGTTCTGAGATTTGTAAATTATTTGTATATGTAAGCATATAAATTAAATTTGCAATTTATTTTTCAGTTTTTTGCAAGTCTCCTCGGTGGGGCAAGTCGCCTGTACACAGTCGTCCTTATTTATTTTAATCACTTAATCTTGCATGAGTAAAACTGTTCTTCTCTGAACAACCTAATAAGGCCACAGGCCGGATGATTAACCTGAGGCCCATGGCCGGTTGATCCTTATAAATTTAAACTAATACGTTTGTCCCAAAAAAGAGCAAGCGTCCGGCGACATCCATCCAGGTGAATTCGTCGCAGAGAGCATCTCCCATTTGGGTGGCACATTACTCTATAAACCTAAAACAAACGGCCAACCGAGTGTCTGAAGACAACCTCGCAGTCGTTTGACCCGAGACAAAGATAAACGTATTGCTTTACTACGAACACGCGGTAGACAATTTAAATCTAAGTCAGAAACCGCCTGTTATTGCTTGGGACAATACAGTTGGCATAATTTGAGTAAATAGCTAATCAAAACTTGGCGAATAAAGAGGTACCATGCGGCCAAAACCGCCTGTTTCTTCTACTCACTCAAATCAAAGTGACAGAGATTGATTAACCCAAAGGGTTAACTCAGTCACACTGGCAACCTTGGAATGGAACCTAAACGGTGCGAATCAAACCGCCTGTTTTTTGGCAAACAGACGGTATTCGGCCACTATTCCTTCTAAAAGTTAGCAAGCAGTAACCACTTGTAAACCTAAAGGCGACTACTACAGCTGAATATTCCAAGCGTCGCCTGTTTCCATACGAGAAACGATCAATGGACTAAAAATTGTAAAAAGAAAAACAACATGCGGCCACAGCCGACTGATTCTTCTGTATACCCAAGTTCAAGTGACGGAGACTGATTAACCTCAAAAGGTTAACTCATAGTCACTCACTCAACCTACAATGGAATCAAAAAGGTACGAATGAAGTCGCCTGTCTTTGTAATAAACAGACGACATTCGGCCACTATTCCTATTTAAATTAGCAACACCGTGGAAGCTACTTTGATTAAAAACATCCAGATTGGCGCCTGTTCTGTACAAGCACCAAGCAGACGGACTATTTACGATCAATAAAATAAAACTAAGTACAAACTTAGTATATTGCGGTTTACTATAAGGTCGAGAGCCGAGTTATGCTAGGTGTTCGCCTGGGAAATGGTCGATTGACCGCCTGGTTTGGGGCAATCACCATAATGATTGATTGACCTAGAATTAGTAATACTCTCAAAGTATCAAAAATTCTAAGTTAATCAACTCACCTTTGAAAACCAGGCGCCAGTCGCCAAGGGGCAAGAACAGTCGGTATATAAAGCATTCATGAAAACAAAGGTTACATACACTTAGTAAAATTCATGAAAAGCAAAAATTCAAAAACTTCAAAATTTGGAGAATACCAGCAAAAACGGTCGGATGATTAATACAAACAGTCGGCCAGGTGACAGACAGAAATGTTAAAATTTAAAATTGTCAATAAACCCCGACCCCTTGGTCCTCAGATTCGGGAGCCACATCCTTCTAGTCCCCAGCCGGGTCCTCCTCCTTGTTCTCGCCATCCGCCTCCTCCTCCTGGTCCGACTCCCCAGAGGTGGAATCAGAAGACTCGCCACCCTCCTTTTCTTAGCCATGGTCTTGCCCCATGATATTGTCATTGTACTCTCGGGTACAGGTGGCAAACTGATTCCTCCAGCTGTCATAGATGGTCTCTAGGAAGAGAGCCGCCCAGGTTATCTCCATGATGAAGTTGTTGTCCTCCATCATGTCCTTGACCAGCGCCTATTTCTCCTCGTCGGCTCTAGAGGTAAATTTTTTGGCAAGCTGGTCTCCTAGTTGGCCAGCCGTTGCTTCAGCTTGTCCACCCGATTGCGGAGGCTGGCTGCTTCTTAGTCCGCCTCTTATAGAGGCGCGAGCTCAGCCTTGAGGTCCGATACAAACTTCTCCAGTTCTGAGATCCTCTTCTGGGCCGCCTCTAAGTCCTTCTTGACTTGCAAATTGGCAGACGCCTGAAAATACAGTATGTTAGTGGTCAGAATTTCGTTTTGTGTAATCTGGAACATAGCTTTGTCATAATCAGAGGCGGCCCGGGCCTTCGCAGCCTTTACCTCTTTGTTCTTTTCGCTCAGGGGCTTGCGGAGACCATACACTCGCAGCATAGACTACACTCGGCCAAAGAACAGTCGTCAGTCACAGGCGCTAGGCAATTATTTAAACAAACAAGGAACTTTTTACTAAGTATACCTCGGCAGGAGAGCCAAGATGGCTTCAAGGTTAAGGGTGCCAACTCCCTTAACAGACTCCCTGTCCTCGACAAGGATGGCCTTCAGCATGGACCTAGCCATCTGAACCAGATCCGGCCTTTAAGGGACATCTGCACAATCAATACCCTGTAAGTACTTGGTGTAAATTCGGCCAATAGACCGACTGCTCTCGGAGGTGCTCGGCGACTGCCGATTGAATTTGACCCTCAAAGGGTAAGGGAATGGACATAAGTCTTTGATACCTTCAGTAGCCGCCTCCTTCTCCTTCTCCTTCCCCTGCCAACTGCCAGCAGGGACGGCCGGAGATTTTGGGGGTGGATTGCTTCCTGGCCTTGAGGCTTCATGCTTCCTAGCTCTCCCAGGAGTCGTCACATCACCAGCCGTCTGTTTCCTAACCTTAGGATCCGGCTGGGAGGAGGAGGAAGGCTTTGTTAAAGTGCCCTGCAAGATAATCTCAATAAGTGAAAGGCAGGCGGCAGAAAAGCTAAATGAAATTTGTTCAGTTAAAAGTTCGCCTTTGACGCCTGCACAACAGGCGATTCTTCAGCTGGCCGCTTGCCAAGGATGGCCGAGCGGTACTGAGCAGAAGCTTTCTAGAGGGCGAGAGCTTCTCCATAGCTTTGTCTGCAAAAGATGAATCAAGGAGTTAGTTTGACACAAAATAAATGAAAGTTTCACAAGACATTTAAACAGGCGGTCAGCTACCTCACGACATCTCTTCACTTAGGCCACAGGCGGCCAAATATGTCCCATTGTATAACCACTTATACTTGGGAACATAGTTTTGTGGAATGAACTCCCTCGCCCCAGTCTTGGGGTTCGCCTGTATGTCTACTTTGAAGAGCCCTCTGTCAAGGATCTCTTCTTTGGCTTTACGGGAAACAACGGCAGCTTAGAGCCGCCTGTTAGGAAAGGTGGATTCTTGTTCCACCTGTTAAATTTTTTGTTCCTAGCTGTGTCAGGGCTAGGGCTGGAGATGATGTAGAAAGTGTTCCTCCAATCTTTCCATTTGTTCTCCTTCCCCACAGTCATCATATAGCCCTTGTGGCTAGACAGCTGATACCAGTCGGTCCCGCTTGTCTTTGGGGTCCGGCTGAGGTAGTGCACATGAGCAAATGCCTCAAAGCTTGGCTCTACCTCATGCATCTCCACAGCCGGCAACATAGCCCAAGATGTTGAACCAAGAGTTAGGGGCTAGTTGCTAGACACCTAGCTAGTATCTGTCCAAAATAATCTCTACAGCCGGATGTAGAGGAAATCTCAGGCTAGCCTTAATTGCCGCCTCATAATAGCCAAAACAGGCGTCCCTGTAGCTGGACTGCTTGGGTCAGACTACAGTGTCCTCAGCATCCGGCGTGCAAATTACATACCCATGTCCCATGACATGGTCAGCTCTAAAGCTCTCAATTTTGTCAGCCATCATTTTCCGCCTGCCTTTGGGAACATGATGATAGTAGGCGGTGTTTTGCTCTCGGTTGGCAGCAGACGGCTCCGCCCAGTATGGTCCCAAGTCTACTGAAAGGGACTCTCGGGCACTCTCTAGCTGAGAGTGCCTCTCTTCAGATTCATCCAAAAATTTGTTTGAAGTGCTTGGCTCAAAATCGCTATCTGAGCTCTCGGATGAAGGGTCCGCTTGGCGGGCAAGATCAAAAAAGGTTGGCTTAACATTTTCTTACCCTGATTCATCTAAAATAGAATCACTAGGGGTACTTGGGGCACCAGGCGGCACGTCAGACAACTCGCTGACAGGCGCATGAAAGAAAGAGTCGTCTGAATTTGTGACCCTTGCTGTTCTCTTAGTTCCGGCCATGGTGTCCTACATAGACACATAGACAGTCGGACTTGGGGCAGTTCGCAAAGGGTGATCCAGCAAGGGGCAGTCGGCACTCCTAGTTTTAGATTTAGCCGTCCCCGGTGACCGGCTGATCACTAACCTAGGTCGTGCGGTGTGCTTTTAGGAAACCATTTTCAAAAGAAAAACAAAGTACGAGAAAATAAAAAGAAACAGACGGTTACCTTTAGTTGATGAAGATGGAAGAACTTGAAAGTCTACAGCGACTGTAAGAGCAGGCGGTCTGTAAAACAGGCGATCTGGTGCAGTCGGAAGCTCTCTCTCAGAAACAGACAAAAGCTCTCTAGAATTTTTTGGAAACGTCCAAACAAATGATTTGGACATCCCCTATTTATAGGGGGGTGAATTCCAAGAGACAGTAAAAAAAAAAAAAAAAAAAAAAAAAAAAAAAGCCTCGTGACACCTGTCACAGGCGCCACGTGGCATGCCACGTCACCCCTGTGAGGGGCAAATGATTAGGGGGTTTTTCCCCGCCACGTGGACCACTCAAAGTCCTGCCACGTGTCATCCACTTGGACCAACCAGAGTCCACCACATGTCACCTCGTGAGAGGTCCAAGATGGACCAATTAGGCCACGACACATGGCAGACAAATAGCCCATCAGGAAAATGGCCTTCTACGGCCCAAATACCTAGGCAAAGCCCAGTCAGCCCTAGGTTTACTAAAACCTAGTATTGGGCATGTTTTCCAACACCCTATCAAAGGGAGATGTTTCCCTATGAGGAACATCATTCAAAAAAACAATTAATTCACATTAACTCACAATCAGAGAAAGTCAGACACCTGACACCTCGAACTGAGCAATTACACATTGTAGATACTCTCTTGGAATCCAAGAGAGACCTTTTACTTTCCGCACTTTACTCCTCATACACGTTCTAACTTGATCGTCGGAGGCGGAACTCCCACCCATAGGAGTCTCCGTTTGCAGGTACAAGCGTCCAAAAGTCAGTCTTGGAATTGTAACTCTCCCGCAGCACACTAAGAAAACCCCGAAACATTATTCATAATAGTAACTACGTGGATGATATATTTAATTTTTTAATGTCTAGGTTGGATGATATAATTAATTGGTTGGATGACATGGTTAATTGTTAGTTGAATGATATCAATAACTACTTGGATGATATCATCATAATTAATTTAACATTTTAAAGGTTAGTCTTTTCTTATTTTGTGTTTGTCTCACGAAGTCATTAGTTAGGCAAGTTTCACCCAATAGCTTTTCAATAATTATACGTACATATTATCTCAATTATTCCACAACTAGTTTCTGAAAGAATATTTGCCGTGATTTCTAATTACTCAAAATCATCAATATATACAAAGATCAGTTAGGCAGAAACTAACTTAGGATAATTACCATAAAAAGATAATTACCAATAATACAAAAGATAATTACAACCTATTACATACAATAACAGATTATTTACATAAATCTAACACACCCCCTCAGTCGAAACGGTAGGTCGGCGAACGTTGAGACCCCCGGAAATCATCAAATAAAACTCTAGGCAGACCCTTGGTGAAAATGTATGCAATCTGATAGCGGAAAGGCACATGAAGAACACGAATTTCGCCTTGTTGGACCTTTTCGCGAACGAAATGAATGTCCATTTTAATATGTTTAGAATGTTGATGTTGAACTGGATTACTTGATAAGTATATACCACTAACATTATCACAATAAACTAATGTCGCCTTACAAAATAGGACATTTAAGCTCAAGAAGAAGATTCCGAACCCAATAGGACTTAGAGACAACATTAGCAACCCCACGGTACTCAGCTTCAGCACTAGACTAAGACAAAGTAGGGTGCTGCTTAGAGGACCAAGAAATCAAATTATCACCAAGAAAAACACAATAACAGGACGTTGAACGACGAGTATCTGGACACCCACCCCAGTCGGCATCCGTGTAAGACAGAAGAGAAGACACAGATGACTTAAATAAATGCAGACCAAGATCAGATGTACCTTGAATGTACCGAATAATACGTTTCAAAGCCGACATATGCTCAACCAACGGAGCATGCATAAACAAGCAAACCTGTTGTACATCATATGAAATATCCGGGCGAGTAAAAGTTAAGTACTGCAAAGCACCACATAATTTCCAGTAAAAAGTGGGATCATCATACGGAGTGCTGGATTGTGAGCTCATTTTTCCTTTTGAGTCTACAGGAGTAGCAGATGACTTGCAATTTGACATCCCTGCTTTTTCAATAATTTCTTGAGCATATTTCTTTTGAGAAAGAAATAAACCTGTTTTAGTACGGGAGACAGTAATACCCAAGAAATAACTAAGTTCACCCAAATCAGTCATAGCAAATTCAGAACTGAGTCTGGAAATAATTTGTTGGCGAAGAGATTCGGAAGAAGAAGTAAGAACAATATCATCAACATACAATAGAATGTAAGTTGTAGCATTACCATGGTGATAAATGAATAGAGAGTTGTCCGATTTGCTATGAACAAATCCGATAGATGCCACAAAGTCAGTAAATCGTTGATACCAAGCCTGAGGAGCCTGTTTCAAACCATAAAGAGAGTTTCGAAGCAGACAAACATGATCAGGTCTAGTAGGATCTTTGAACTCCAATGGTTGATACATGTAAACGGTTTCATTCAAATGACCATGTAAAAATGCATTTTTAACATCCAATTGATGAATTGACCAAGACTTAGATAATGCAATACTAAGAACCAGTCTGATGGTAGCCGGCTTGACAACCGAGCTAAAAGTTTCATCACAATCTATCCCCTCTCTTTGAGTCTTACCATCACCAACTAAACGAGCCTTATGTCTCTCAAGCGAGCCATGTGATTTCATTTTATGCCGAAAATCCACAATGAAAGAATAATATTGACATTATCCAGGCGAGAGACTAACTCCCAAGTACCGGTTTTAATAAGAGCATCATATTCATCCTGTATAGCAACTTTCCAATTAGGGTCATGAAGGGCATGGACCGGGTTCTTTGGAATGGGAGATATGGAGGTAAAGGTATGAAGAGCGTGGTATTTGGGATTAGGCTTAACAATTCCATGCTTGCTACGCGTAGTCGTGGAATGAGAGATGGTGGAGGAGGGTGGAGTAGGAGAGTAGCGGTGATAGGAGGTGAAGGGGGGGCTGTAGCGTGAGCAGGTGGCAGAGTGCTTCGCAGCACGTCCGCGGTGGAAGAAGACGCACCACATGCAGCCTGCGGAGTGGTCTGCTATGAGCTGGGTGGAGAGGAAGCATACTGCAGGTCACCTGCGGTAGCCACTATAGGACCGCCAGCATCTCGCGGAGGGTGTTGTATGACAGTGGGTGTGGGAAAGGTGACACTATCAGGTACAGCTATATGAGGAGTAATAGCATGGTGAAGAGAGGGAGTGTCCAAGGCGTCCATGAACTCACCTAGGAACTCATAAGAATGTGACTTAGGATTATGAACTTTAGAGAAAGGAAAGACCGACTCATCAAACTAAACATGCTTAGCTATTATAATCTTTCGACTCGATATATCATAACATTTGTAACCCCTATGATTTGAAGGATACCCGAGGAAGACACACGGGGTAGAACAAGATTGAAGTTTGTGTATTTTAGATGACGGAAAAAGGGGAAAGCACAAACAACCAAAGACTCGTAAGTGAGAAAAATCAGGATCACGTTGGTATAAAATTTGAGTGGGAGATTTATAGCCAAGAATTTTGTAGGTATGATATTGTGAAGGTAAGTGGCCATTTTTAAAGCATGGTGCCAAAAAGAGGGAGGCATAGAGGCATGACAAAGGAGAGTCCGAACAATATTATTAATAGTTTTAATTTTTCGTTCGGCTTTGTGACAAGCGCTAAATCGGTCGCACAATCTAGGCTAAGTCAAACACATTTATAACAAACACCTCACTCAAACAAGTATAAAGGCAAGTAAGGGTTCGGTCCACGGAGAACAGGAATTAATCGCTAAATAATCTTAACGCTTAAGCTAAATCGAAATCAAGGTGTAAAGAGGTGATTAACTAACAAACTATAACTAACGATTGAATTCAAGGGATTAAAACACTTGGGGAATGGGATTCACTCAACCAATATCAATTAGGCAAATAGGGAGGAACAAGGATAAGGGAATAGCAAAGACCACATGAAAGACCAACTTCAAACAATATGAAAACAACTCAAATCACTAAGCTTAGATCCCTCATTAACTTAGCAACAAAGATACATAATCTTATTGTAATAGGTAATGAAACATTCAACTCACATTTCCATGTCAAACCAAATATTTCATGCCATCAAGTTCAATAATCTAGGTTAATTACTCCTATCATGAAGAACTAACAAGCAACCCATATAATCCATTTTAATCGCAATCCATCATCAAAATCACTCCCAAACTCACATAATCACCATTGGGTTGGGTTTTACCCAACCCCTAGCTAAGGAACTACTCACACATCATATTGAAAAGCACAAAATCAAATCTAGGGTTCTATCTTGCTCAACAATCATCAAAGAGAAATTTACCAAAAATAGTGCTAAACATTCAACTAATCATGATTAGGGACTAAGAGATTCAAATAAACTTGCAAAATAGGCAAATAAGAGATTAAGAGTAAAGAGAGATAAGAGATGTTACTAAATGAGAAACTTCAATACTTGGTTGCAATACTTTTCAAATTGGAATAATCTTCAAATCAATTACGAAGTGTTTAAATTTGATTAGGAACTAAGCAAGATCTAAGAAAATGTGTTTAAACCCTAAATAGAGCACTATTACTAAGCCTTTCTCTCTCTACAATCTCATCTCCTACTAAATGAGGCAATCATTCTATTTATATTAGTCCAAAACAAAGGGGGCGGAGAGGGTGAGAAAACTGCTCTAAAACAGATCGACACGGGCGTGCCAAACATCGCACGGCCGTGCAGCACGGGCAGAAGATCTGGAAATCTGGAACTCGGGCTTGGCACGGGCGTGTAGCCTAGGTAGAAACTTCAATGTATCCAGCAGCAATCTTGCACGGGCGTGCCACCATCATGCATGGCCGTGCAGCTCCCAGCACGGGCGTGCCAATTGCTTCACGCCCGTGCAGCCTTCACAGAAAGCTTTGCTAGTTTTCAAACTTCTTTGCACGGTTGTGCCAAGCAATGCACGACCGTGCAGAGCTCTAGGAGGTCTTCAAATGAAATTCAAGTCTAGCCGAAGATACCTCAAGGCCATGACTTCTTAGCCAGCCATCGGGATGCCTCGAAAGGGTCTAAGCATACCTGAAATAGCATCAAAACACTAGCAAAACCCGTGAAGCATGACAAATATGAAGAAAGTGCGAAAATAGATCGACAAGTGAGCAAAATAGCTAGAATATGGAAATAAGTGAGCACTAAATCACCCTAAAACCGCGCACTAAAGTATGTTGTCAAATCCCCCCAAGCTGGACTTTTGCTAGTCCTCGAGCAAAACATAGACAGTAAAGATGAGGCAAGCACTACGAAGACTTCATAACATGGCAAGGCATTAGAATCACATCAAATCTCAAAAATGGGAAGAATGCTCGATTCGGACTCATAGGAATAGACAACACCAAAGAATATAAGCTTTTCTCAAATAAACGATGGAAAACACGAAACAAGGTACTCATGGTTGAAAGAAACAAGTCTAAACCAAGCATAGAGAACATAATGGTTCATAATCCACCCTAGTCCCATCCAAACGGCCGCGATCTTCCCACTAGTATCAAATCATCCCTTTAGCTAGCTCCTCATGATTCCACGAAGGAACCGGAAAAAAATTCAAATATTTTGAGGAAATAATGAAGGTATCCCGACATCTTAACTACGCATGATCTCTCTATAGGGTTGAAATTCATCTCCCTCCACCGGTCTATTGACCACACACCTCTAAAGTCTAAGGGTCTTTCAATGGTTGAAATGAGTTGGCAAAGGGTAAAGGTAGGAGAATTCAATTTAAAACATTGGAGGCATATCCTAAATGAAGCAAAAGAGTCGTCACCCTCAAAACAAAACTCAAGAAACGCACCAAATCTCAATTGAATAACCATAACCTTGAATATGTCACATTACCAACTTTATTTAATCAAAACGCAAAACAAACCCCCTTTTTTCATTTTGAAACTTTATTTGATGTCCTTGCCCTTTTTAACTTTGGACGGCTTTTTCAATGAAATACAAATCGACATTCATGTTGGAATCTTTCTTTTCTCTTTTATTATTTTTTTTTTCCAAAGCTTTCTTGCATTGCATATTCACATTCAAACTCAGCTTTTAACTCTTTGCTACAACCAATTATCAAAACATATTTCTTGCTTACAAACAATACGCTCAAACAACAACATCACAAGCCAAATGCTTCACTAACTAAAGGGTTGGTAAAACTTTGGTCATTAGGGTTTTAATGGGTAAAACAAGAAAAGGGAAATATTAGGCTCAAATTGGTTACAAGTAGGTTGATGCAAATAGAAAATCAATTTGTAACTAAATAAAAAAAGAAGTAAAAATGAAAATGAGGAAATTCCCTTTTCCTCTAAAGGTGTTAAGTCACGGTCACGGGAGCTAAAACTCAACACAAAGATTAATACACGCGCAGTCAAGGATCCAAAAGTGCCACACAACAAAAAATGATGAAGGCTAGAACAATGAAAACACAAGGGATATAGAAAGTAAGCAATTACCAACCAAAGGGTTCAATCCATTATAGGGAGCAACTCCATCTTACCACAAACCCGTGAACTAAGGCTTCAAATGATCTCAAAAGTTCTAACCTAGCTACCTTAGCTAAGACTCGTTTATATCAACCAAAGGCACTCTCAAACCGTGTAATCCATCATTGACATAAGAAACAACAAGCATTCTAAGGTGCAATCATCACAAGAATCAAGTCCAAAACACATGAACAAAAGTTCCAAAACCAATAACATTAACTTGCCATATCATGCTCAAAACAAAGAAAATAGGAAGAAATCGAACGGTTCACAAAAGAGGCATATAAATCCAAATAAATCCCAATCGAAAAACAACGATCGTTGATATCAACATCAATGATCCCAGGTTCCCCAGAACCAATCAAACAACCTCGAACCATTCAACTTCATCCTATACTAACCTAGACTAAGCACACCAAAAGAAAGAAATACTAAAGGAACGATCTCACCAAATGTCTTTTGAAGATACAATAAAGCAACCATGCTATTTGTCGATGCTTCGTGTGTTGCTTTTAAGTTTCTTTAAAGCTAGAAAAGAGAGAAAAACAAAAAAAACTAACACTCTATTTTTTTTGCTTTTCTCTTTTTGCTTTTTTTTTTTTTTTTTTTAGAAAAGCGAAACAAAAGTGAAATCCCAACAAGAACAACAACTATGAAGCAAACAATTCACCTCCCCAAGCTAGTATAAACATTGTCCTCAATGTTAGACATCAAGGACTAATAAAGGAAAAGGAGAGGGAAAGAGGCGTATACCTCAATGGCTAGGGCCACCGCCTTGGGAGCTAGGTCTTGGGTAGAATTGGCGGTAGACGAAACGGAAATCCGTGAGCTCACCATGAAGACGATCGAAGCTATCCCTCATGGTAGTGAAGGCAATCGTCATGTCTTCATTAGACTTTCTAACGCTCTCGTTGGACAACCGTAGGCCCTCAAAATCCGTACGAGGCCTTGGAAGTCTTGTTGCAACTCCTCAAAACGCTTCTCATAACTAAATGAGCTACTCCCGGCCTCCGGGAAATTAAACTGTTGCTCAAATTGTTGCCCATCTTGTTGTTGGCCTTGTTATTGTTGGGGCTGCTCTTCCCCTTGGCCCTGCTCATCACCATCATCATCATCATCATCATCATCA